GTGGTGGAGTCACCATCCCTGGAAGTATTTAAAAGACGTGTAGATGAGGCGCTGAGGGACATGGTTTAGTGGGCATGGTGGTGTTGGGTTGACGGTTGGACTCGATGATCTTGGAGGTCTCTTCCAACCTTAATGATTCTATGATTCTATGACACTCTTGCTCTGCCTCAACCAGGCTACGACAGCAAGCTGTTCCCACCAACCAGGAAAAAAAAAAATTTAAAATCGACATTTTGTTTCATAAACAGTAAAGCTCTGCAGAGAGGGGCCTTGAGCGGCAGCCTAGAAGGAATTAAAGCACGAGCCACCCAGGCAGCACAGGCGTAATGGCATTTATAGGGAGAAGGACGCCGTTTGCAATGCAAACGTACCTCGGGTTCCCACTGCGTGCCTTGGGTAACGAAGATGTTCAGAAAGCAAAGAGGGAAGTCGGCTGCTCCCCAGGTTTGCTAGCTGAACGTCGCTGGCAGAGCAAGAAGTCACCTGCCAGCCAGCGTTTGCTGACCGGCTACAAAACCAGAAAGCAACCCCCATCCAACCACAGCCCGCTCAGGGCACGGATGACACATGGACATCTCCCATGGGTGACACACGGACGTCTCCCATGCTTTGTCCTGATGGCAGGGACAGTCAGCTGCCTGACAGCACCTTGGGTGGGACGTGCAGTGCTTTTCACCCAAGGAATGCTTTCTCCTTCGCCTCCCTTGCCCTCAATCCACTCCTCCAACACCCTGGGGCTGCTCCCCAGTCCGCTGAGGGAAATGAAAGCTCTCGGGGTCTGTCACCCTTGTGCAAAGGAGAAGGCTGAGCCTCAGAAAACCCAAGTGTAACAGTTAAAGTGATTCCCATGCAGCTGTTCTGGGCTCGAACCTCTGTTGCAATGGCCCAGGTAAAAGTCCTCCAGGTGTTCAACAGCGTAACCGTTGGTCAGAAGTCCTGGGGCAGCAGAAGCTGTCTCAAACCTGCAGCTTCCCAGCAAATGAGCTGCGTAAAAGCAGTGTCGTGCTGGAAGGCACAGAGATAGAGGGTGCATGGTGAGGGTCACCATGCTGAAGGTGGAGAAGAGAAGCTTACAGACATGCTGCAAATGGGAAATCATCACTCCCCAACCTTCATCCTGATAAAGCATCACCAACCCACACACAGTATCCGGGTTTATGTCTCTAATATAGACTCGGTAACAACATATGCTCGCTTACTCCTGGCTCCAAACCCCTCCTTGGCACAAACTGTATTTACTTTTCATTCTGTCTGGGTGGAACAGGTAGCAGATTTCCCAAAGTCTCCCTTGCTTCAGCTCCCCAGTGTCTCTGTCCACGAGTACAGAGCCTCTCCGTAAGCCGTTCACAGCAGCCAGACTGCCACCCCAGAGGTGAAGCCTGCCCGGCACCCAGCCCTTGCTCCAGGAGACTCCCATCTCCGAAAAATAAGAGGCCACTTCTCTGCTACACCGACCAAACCACATGCAGCTGAAGGACACGTTCAGTGGCACATTTCCATCATGACTCAGCCCTCCTTTTCAAGTCACCCATGGGATTTAAGCAGGAAAAGTAGCACCCATGGGGCTACCAAAGCCCTAAACGTACTGCCCCAAGGAGCTGATAGCACTGGGGGTGAGAAGAGGGTATGCTCTACTGTCACTCATCTGAGACTCCCCAGCATCAGGGGCACGGTGGATGTATGCATTTCTGATGTATATTCTTGCTGCTGACGTTGCTACCTCTCCCCTCCGGTGGCTGACAGAGCACTGCTGTCAGATTTTTGCCTTGCACTGTTTTTCACTGTCTGCATTTTCCATTTCTTCCTCGTTATAAAAACAACAAAGCAAAAAAACCATCAAATGTGACACAGGATTGGTGGGGGGTTTCGTCAGTAACAAGGCTGGGATCTGGCTCACAGCGTGCAGCCTGCCAGGGGACATGGAGGGAGAGAGGGCAGAGGCATGAGAAATTACTAATGCCATAGGAAGACCCACTTGGGAGGAGAAAGGCTCCTCGTTTGTCCAAAACAAATTGGCCGAGAAAATCCTGGATGGAAAGGGAAGTGTCATTTTCTACCTGTTTAGTTCAACAAGCCCTTTCCCCAAAGAATCTACTGGCAATTTATTTGTAGCCAAGAAGCTCCCACTCTCCAGAGACATCAGATCAACACACAGAGGGGGTTTGACATGTGCCACGGAGGTGCAGAGCTCCCTGCTGATCCATCCTGGCACACGGACCGCTCGGTGTGTGTTAGCCCTATCCCAGGGAGGGAACATGTCTCGCATGAAGGGGACAAAGACGTGATGCAGGAACAGCAATGCTCAAAGTAAATGACAAGGCATGGATGCTTAATAAAGGATGGGATGAAAACTCTAGAGACCAGCTAAGTTTTGGGACGAGCCTTTGGCAGCCTTTGTCACAGGTCTCGAAGAAAATCCTTGTATATCCCTTGGATTTAATGTCTTCCTTTTGATGGGAATCCCAAACAAAGCTGAGGAGCTGGATACTGCCCTTAGAAAGGAGGACAAACCAATCCTGGCGGAAGAAACCTTTAAGGTAAGGAACATGATGAAGTGTTTGAATTTGGCTCCATTTCTACTATATCCTGCTGGGTGATTCTGGAGATCCATTCCAACGCCACAGAAAACATTTTGGTGCAAAGGCTTAACTCAGCTTTGAGCTACCAAAGGTCCAAGGGGTGAGGAGAGACTATTCTGTCTGTCTCCAACCACACAGGTCTAGAAGAGGAGTAACCACAGGAGATTTATGGCTCAGCAGTGCCAGAGAAGGGACGTGGGTTGGCTTGAGTTGGGCATGTCCAACCACACAGCAACGGTTGGACTGTGTTGCTTATATGATCCCTCTGCTCAAAGCGGCAGCAATGACTAATGAGTAAGGAGGAAAAAAATGGGTTGAATAATTAGAAGGAAAAAAAAAATATCTAAGCACACAGAGTCTTGTCCAGGCAAAGAAACAACATTTTTCTCTCCTGGCCAAAACAAATGCGTGTGTCTGATTGATGCTGGGAATCTCTGATGATGGGCTCCAGCAAGGCTAGATGTATGGATGGTTAAATTCTATTGATCTCACCTTCATGAGACCTGATGTTTGATTCCCTCGGTGTCAGACTGACTTAGTTTGATCTGATAATTTAGAACACCAACAGTGCTTAATGTGGACCAGAAATAATATCTGACATGCTGCCCTTCTGCCGGGCTCTTAATGAGCAATTTGAGGTGTTAATATCTTGGAGACCGTCTTAATTTCCAGCTCTGCCACGGAGGATCACATTGTGGCTGCTGAGGGACCCGGAGAGAGTACATTACTGCTTAATTAACATGCAGAGCCGAAAAGGGAGCTGTCGTAACGTCCACAGCGCTAACGAGCCAGCAAAGGGGCTACGCCAAACCCTTTGGAGCAGAGGCTGCTATCTCCTGCCAGATGCTCAGGACCCTCAACTGCTACCGACACAGCAGAGTTGGGTGACTCAGCATCCACTGGAAGAATGAGCACCTGCAGGCTCAGGGTCCAACAAAGCCAATTTAGGCGGAGACGGGGCAATTAAAAGCTGAAAACTGATTCAGCATTCACATCTCCAAAAACCTAAATTGGTTCTTAAAAAAAAAAAAAAGAGTAAAGATAAACAGGCAACCGGCCAAGAAGTGGCCCCAGAGGAAATTAATTCCACACAGGCTTCGCTGTAATGTGCTTGTTTCTCTGTTATTATAAAATATATGCATTGTTCTATCATCAAAATTAGATTTTCCCTTTAGCTTGTAATTAAACCCTAATCTAATTTACCGGGAGGTGACAGAGGCCTCTAAGCAGAGCTTACAGCCCTGCTCCCCTTTCCCCGCCCACCTCCCTTCACCTGCTTTTGCAGGCTTCCCTCTGCATTTTGGTGTCTGTTCTGAAGGTGCCACGCATCAAGAAGGGTCCCCACCAAAGACTTTTTACTTGGTAAGGCCCAGCTGTGAATGGGCTACCCCAGTGCCCAGGTCTTCTCCCCCAAGCCCTCCTCATAGCCATAGCTAATTTCCAGTTCCCAACAGGTCGTCTCCTCTGAGCCAGATCCTAATTCTCTAAACACAACTGTTTATTGATGATCTCTATTTGTAATAGCAGCACTTCAATGCACAACGGTTAACTTTGCTCGGTTTCCTAGGGCGTTATGGAAAAACCATTTGCTACTGTAATTAAAACTCCCCAGACTAGACTTTTGTACTATGCAGAGAGGCCACAGAGGGAGGAACTGCTAGGAACGTGTTTATAGATGTGCTGCAGCACGACTGCAAGATTGCTCTTGGGCTTGGAAACCACAGACCAGCGCTGGATGGCCCTGCCCCCCGGGGATGTTCAGACAAGTCCTCCCCACCAACATCTACAGCTGTACCCGAAGCGGAACCTTCCGTTTCGCTGTAAAACACTGAATAGCTGTTTCATGAATGTGACGTGCAGTTTAACAGATGAAAACTCACTTCACCAAGGTGGTGTTTGCCTCAGGCCACGAAGGTCTGAGAAAGCAGCTTTCCACGCCAGCTTGCTTTCCCAGGGGAAGCGGTATGGGGGCTATAGCGAAGCAGCAGCAAGAGACTGGGACAGCAGCCCATCGTTCTGGTGGCAGCGCCTGTGTAGGTTCTTAGTATGAGATGACAACAAACAGGGTTGGCGGGGAAGGAAAAGAGGTCACATTATATATCTGCTTGTCCAAGTGCCTAAGCATGGCCTTGTAGCTCCAGAGATAAAGCAGGATTCTAGGTTACAGGCTACGCGAAAAGTGTTGGTAGTGTCACAGTCTCAGCTTGGCCGGAGAACATTGCCTCCTTCCCAGCGTCAAACTGGTGGAGATCACCTATTCCCTGAGCATCTAGCCTGACCACGGCTGGTAGGCGTTATTTCCACAAGGGAAAGTTGAAAGCAATTTGTCAGATCCCAGGCAAACAGCCTTGGTCTTTGCAAAGTATAAACAGGACACCAGGAAGGAGAAGAGCTTTAAGGAGAGGGCAAAGGTGCACGTACCTCATCTGGTGCGTGTGGCTGTCTGTCAGGAACGACCAGTGGTACTGTACAAGAAGCGGGCTGCAGTTGGTCATCTCGACATAACGCACATCTTCAGTGTCGTTCAAGATGCAGCCAAAGTCCAGGGCCATGGTCTGGATACGGAGATTCGGAAAGTAGACTTCTCCCCGAACGGTGACCTGCTCCTCATGAGGATGCTCGAGAAACAGTATCTTCAGAGCCTTCTCTGCTACCCAGATATTCAAATCCTCTTTGTAAGCAGGGTTAAATTGGATGGAGAGATGAAGTTCCTCCCCTATCTCCAGCTTCATGGGCTGCAAGGAGATTATTATTATTAACCACCAGCGTGATGAAGTCCCAAGGTCTGACGGCATGAAAAGTGTAAATATTCAAAGTTTGACCCTAACGTGGCCTTCTCAGTTCGTCCTTCATTTTCTTTACAGTGTGCACCTGACCGCAAGCACCACAACACTCTTGTCTGAGACTCTCTCAGGCTCACATCTCTCTGCTCTGCATCAATATAAGAGCGAAATAAATATTTTTCTACTGAATTCTGGACCCACAAAAGCTATATGCTAAATACACAACCAAATCAGCACTCTGGCAAGCCAGGGCCTTTTGCCCTGACTCTAGAGGAACTCCTTTATCCTCACAGCACAAGTGCAATGGCATTGCAGCCTCACCCTTGCAGGTGCTAGTCACCGGCACGGCACAGAAACACCACATTTAGCAGAGTCCATATCCAACCCCTTCCACCGACGAGGGGGCAGGTGCCAGGGCAGCGGCTGGAGGAGCATCCTCAGCCTTCCTGAAAGCAGGGCTGCCCTTGAAGGGAGCAAGCTGCTCTTGAGGTTATCCGAGGATAGCTGCTGGAGAGCTGGGATGGTTTCCGGGAGACGCCTTTACTACATGGCTCGCCCAGACCTAGTTGCCTGCTCCCCTCTCCTCGTGTCTTAGAGCCAGGACATATTTCCCCAATACAGATGATATTTCATTTCCTTCAGCAACTCCTTTCGAATCTGATTTAGTTCAGGCCAGTCTACTGCTGACTCTAAAGAATAAACTTCTCTACTAGAAGACCTCCAAACAGAAACGCACCACCACACTCCTCCCTCTTCAAACCCCACCAGCAGGAAGGTCCACGGCTGCTCACCTGAACGTCTGCGGGGAGGGGCTGCCGGTCCGCATCGCAGATTAAGAAGGGTTGCTCTAAGGCGAGGACAATGCTGAGTGGCAGGGAGGAGATGTTTTTTAAAGAAAGAGGCTTGTACTGAAGAGTTAGGACATCACTGGGTTGCTACAGAAACAGGAGAGAAGGAAAAAAAAACCAACCTGAAGTCACCACGGACCTCCTCCCCCTTCCAATGCATTTCAGATTTTTCAACCCCAAAAGTGCATACATCTCTGCTTACTATTTTTATTAGTTTCTACCCTTCTAGAAGTTTTTTCTCTAAGTATATCAGATGCTTTTCATGTTTAGAAACCACAGCATCCCCTGGGGGAGAGGGAAACAGTCTCGTGTACAGGAGAGGGAATAGGACCCCGAGAGGACGCAGCTGCTTGAACAAGATCAAAACCAGAAAGTGAACCCAGGCCGTTTGCCTCCAGTTTTGTATCCTCTCTTGGGCAGAATGGCACAAAATTATTTTCACTCACATACAATAATTTCTTACAACCTTATTGGCTCTACTAGCCTCATAAAAGCAGTGATGCTAGTCAGAGGAGAAAAGCAAGCAGGATTTGGCCCGTGGTGGAAAGCCTGCAGCAGCCTAAGGTTAGCTTTGAACATTTACGTGCACATGCAGCCAGCTAGAAACCTCAACAGTCGGGTTGCGACATGTCTCCTGCTGCCCCTACTACAGTGACAAGGTCTCTCTGTAGCCTCAAAGCTAAGCTCAGCCTAAGCTATTTCTTCCTGTTTATGCATTGCTCTGGGCTTCCTGCATGGTTTATATGAACTAGACAGTGTTTGGGAAACTCGCTCTGGGTGTATTGATATCAAACAGCTGCAGTGTCATAGCACTCGATAAATCGGAGTGCGTGGCATCAAGCAGACCACAGGCAGACATCAGGAATAGCTGAAAAGCTTCTAATTAAATCTGAACTGCCTGCTCACAGGGTTTTGTGCTTCTCTGGATGCCCGGGAACCAGAGGAGAGACCTGAAAACACAGAAACTAAATAATGAAACATCTTCTCTTCTTCAGACACCTCGTGGGAGAGGGAAAGATGATGCAGAAGTTGGGATCCAGAGACTAAAGGGCACCCGCTTTGCGTTGGTGTTATCATCAGTGCAGCTGAAGGATGTCTGCAGGTCCTTTGAAGGAGGTGAGGCTTGGGGAAATGGAAAGAGCTAGCATCCATACCAACAGCAGAGAAGGCAAAGAGAGACAAGAGATGAGAGTTTTTCCTCATCAGCCTGAGGAGTTGACAGGAATCTCAGTTTTTCTCAGCTTCCCTACAGGGATCAGTGTTCAGACATCACCGTACCTTGGAGGACCCTCAAAAACCTCCCTTTATACTGAGTACAGAAACTGGTGTCTCTCTAGAAGTGGTCGTGATCCCCCTCTGCAGAGCAGCTGTAATCTCAGTTTTACTTGGGTAAAGTTAAAAAGTGGTCCCATCTCTGAAGACATCCTCACTTACTTTACACAGAGGCTCAGGAGGGGTGAGGAGGGGGTTTAGCATCGCTCAGCTGCAGCGATCTGCTCTCCCACCTGCAGCCCCAGCGTACGAGGTGGCTGTGCAAAGCCCACACTGTTCTCGTGGGTCCCACACGTCTCACCCTGCGCCCTTGGCTCGGCAGCTCAATTCTGTCTCCACATCAAGAAGGGCAGAATAGAGGTGGTTAAACTATCCCCAGCCTCAGAGGAGCGAAATAACAATCTCTGTGTTAAGGGCAAAAGCTTGGTCCCGCTCAAGTCAATAGCCAAAGCCCCGTGGACATGGAGAAGCTGTTTAACTTCCTCCTTTGAACACAAGCACCCACACCCCACAGGCTTTCAGTCATCAGCCACGCTAGTAAGTGCCAGGAGGCAATCCAGAGACTTACCTTCTCTGCCCGGAAAGTGATTTCCCTGGAGGACATTTGCAGAATGGGAGCAACGAACTCGCACGTGACATCCACTTGCATTATCTGTGCCTTCCCTGCCTTATTCCCCACGATGGCGTGACACAGCAGCCGCTCCTTCACTACCTGCATGCAAGAGTCGCACGTCACCCAGCGGGTGCTAGCAGGGCGTCCAGAAAACGCACTGCATTTGCTCGCCACCCGACTGTGGACCGTATTACCGCCATAAAGTTACGATCACTGGTCTCCTCAACAGGCCCCTTTTCTTTTTATGTTGCATCCTATTTATTCAGCAATAATGCTACACCCTAACATCCACAAAAGGCACTCGTGAGTCACGTGCTGCCTACAGTTGTAATAATCCCTGCCACAAATGATTATTGCTTTGACGTGCCCCATTGCTAACCATAATGCTTGCAGAAAGCTGTAGGAACTGATTAAAAAAAAATACAACTATATTAAGAGAAACGTGATAGAAGGGCCAATGCCAGCAAACCCTCCCTTGGAAGCTTAGCGGAAAGGATACATGGGAAAAACCCAAATAGCCAGCCTGCCTTCAGGTAAAGAGGGGATCACTCATTCCTAGGATGTACTGTGCCCTCCTAGAGCTGGTTTTAAAAGAAACCTCCCCAGGAAAGAGATGTCTTCCACTTCACATGAAAACCCTCTGCTTAAGCTGGATGCTCTTACATTCAAGACACTTTCCTGATTTCTCATGGTTTCACTTCCCCAAATTCCTCCCTTCATTTCTCACTCTTCCCTCCGATACACCACCACAACCCAACTCCTCCTCAGAGCCTACAGACTTCAAAATCATCTGTGTTGCACGTACAATGCAGGGAGTTGGGCTTCTGACCAACCTGAAGAGTATTAAGTTCTCAAGACCCAAGGAGGGTGGAAAGCCCACTCCCAGGGTCTTGGCTTTGGCTGCAGGAGCGAGGTAGCCACAGCTGAGCTCACAGATCCCCTTTCTGCTTTCCAGGCAAGACACCCTCACCAGTGCCCTGATCATTTTATTTCCTTTCTGGTAGCTTTTTCCCCTCTTCAGCAAAACCTTTGGGCTCAGAACTGCACAGGGACAGTCCCATCGCGGTCAGCGAGGTGAGTAATCAAGTCTTCCTCAAGCTACCACTGAGGCAACCCTTTAAAACACCTTTCAAAACACTAGTATCAGCAGGAGCTTAATGCAGATTTATTCCACATTCGCTTAAACATCTGTGCCCAGTGGTCCTGGAGCCAGGGAATGCGCACCAGGGTTAGCTGGCAGCTTCTCTGCAGAGTTGGATTTCCCCTGGAAAGAAGGGTCCAGGGAGGAGAACACCCAGTGACGCTGCTAAAATCTCTCCCTCTGAGCTGCCATCCAAGGGCGCTGCCAGACCTGGCTGCCCTTGGGACACCGGGGCTGGCTGAGAGCTTGGGGCGAGCTGTTATGGAAATATTGACAAAAGTCAAGCTGTCAATTATAATGATCCCTGGGAACCGTTTCCCACGTGGGGAATGTCACTCCGATCATTAGAGCTGACACGCTGCGTTTGTTTTTCTCCTCCAGGACTCAGTGCTACACAAGCCCTCTGCCCATGTTTGTCTACAGAGGAAAAATGAGGCTGCTCCCAGACACTCCCTCCCTTCACAGGCGTTTTGTTTTACTCCCTGCTTCCCTCAGATATATTACCTTGCATTTTTTAATTTACTTTCTGCCTGTGCTCCTAGACTAGGCAGGTATAGGTGTACACTTACTATAAGTGTAACTTATATTCTCTGTCCTTCCTTTCTGCCTCAGCACACGACACCTAGTAACCTGCCGTTTGCCCCTGAAGTAGCAATACTTCCTTCAGTCCGTATTTTGGTATCAGCAAGTTGGGTTTATGGTAGCTATAGGAACACGAAAAAGCCTTAGCAACTGATGGTGGCCAGCAAGGAAAGCAACTGGTGCTGCCATGGTAACCTGCGGCGTTAAAACAGTTTCTTGAAAGCACTTGCTCATTTTCTCAGGCAAATGTCAAGGGGCTGCAGAAGTCCCAGCGGAGGTGATCTGATGGGGAAGGCTCAGCCCTCGTGGGGGACCTCACCTGAGGAGTGCTGGAGGAGCCTTCCAGCATCATCTCCATTGTCTTGCCCGGCATCAGCTCCATCCTCAGCGGTCGAAGCTTAAACACAGGGCAGGCAGGTTTGGGGCTCTGGGAGGAATCTTTGCCCTTGGTGTTACTGACGGCAGGGAGATGATGGCGCTGGCGAAACGGGGCAAAACCTTCCGTTGTCCAATAGAGCTGATGGGTGCGGCGTCCTTTGTTTGTTATCTTGAAGTGGTAACAGCAGGGATCCCGGCTAGAAGAGAAGCAGAGATGGAAAATGTCATGGGAGGTGCTATTTCCCAGCGGTCACCCAGCTTCAGCACCCTGACGGTGTTATCTGTGTGCACGCTCGGCAATAAAGCCACCTCAGAAAAGGCTGACCTAGCTCAAAGCTTCAGCAAAAGCCCGACCTTGGTTGCCCCTAAGTTTAATCACCGTCCAGCAGCTGGTCTGTTTGCGTACAGCAAGGAAAAGCTTCATGAAGATCATCATCTCAGTTGCTGCGGACAGAGCATCACCAGCCGTCGGTGCTTAATACTCAGAGTGTTTTTCCAAAGCGCTCCCTGCAGGTCTCGCTGCATCGGATGCTAAGCTGGCCTGCCCCGGCTGCAAGTGGATGGAGAAACAGCTTCGCTGCCATTTCACCTTCCCCTTGGGAGCTGCTGCCTCAGATGGCTTCCTCTGAAGATGCTACTGGGTAGCTGCAGGGTATATAGACTCGTCTGGTGACCTGGGCGCCACTTGCCTCGCTGGTGGGACCCCTGCCCTAGCACCCACGTTATCCCCCTCATCCCCCTATCCCTCAGGGAGCATCCGACCCTCACCGCCCCCAGCATATCACCCTTTGCCTGAACAGTGCAGCTGGTTTTGTGTTTTAGGAAGAGAAATGCACTGTGAGAACACAGGATCAACAGAAGTTTCCCCGATACGAACACGGCAGCAAGACCAGATCTAGCCGCCGAGGGAATGGAGGAACAACAAGAGATGAATAACTAGAGCTAGATGTAAACCAAAATGAATATTCAATGGAAATTGATTCCTTCATGTAAAGAAACACTAACTGCAGGCTAGTCTGAAGTAATTATTTTACCCTCTATAAATCTGAGCATGATTGCATGAAATGACTTGTTCCTGCAACAGTTATTGTCTTTTTGAAAGGTACAGAATATGTGGCTTACAAAAATGCACGTCTGCCGTAAGCAGCTAAATACAAACACGGGAGTGACAGTACAGAACAAACTAGTCTTTGAAACAGGCTGTTAAAAAATGATGTATACAAGTTTAGTATGACATGGTTTATGTTGCGGACAGCAACAGATGAAAGCTTGGAGCAGCTCTGGGTAGATGCAGAATTTGTGGCTCTGGGAAAGCCCAGCCCATCTGAGGTGTTACCTGGTCCCACCCCAGCTCGCTCAGTGGCAGCTCTGCAGCCAACAGCAACGGCAACAACCCCAACCAGAGCCTGCAGGTGAAGGCGTCGAAGGGGGGCAGAGGACGATGACGTGAACCACGCTGATACTGTCCCCTGCGGTGCGCAAGCCAACTTGTAGCTGCGCAGAGCACAGGAAACGCTGGACAAGCGCCAACCTCCCTGCAATGTTCCTGCTTAGGTGGATGGCTTGTGGGTGCATATTTAAACCCCCAAAGTCTATCCTAAATGCTTAAGGTAAGATTAATCTGCTCTTTCTACCCCAAAATTTAGGTATCGGAGCACTATGGACCCTCTTTGCAGTCAAGAAAAGGAACAGGCACCTTGAGAAGACTATTCTTCCCATCCCAAGAGGTCTCCAACACAAGGCAAACAGCACTTTGAAAAGGCTTATTTTCCTCCCATTTATAAGAACGTGCCTGGTTTCAGACACACGCATTAGGATCAGTGAATCCCCTCCTCCGAGCTAAGCTCTTTCAATTAACGCTCTCAATTTATCCCACCCAACCTCAGCGGACTTCTCCTCCTCTCCCTTTCAGAGCTGGTCCTGCAGCCACCCTCGCTTGCCCGTGCCTCAGGCTGCCGCTGCGGCGTTGACAGAGCAGACAGCAAGGAAAGCAGGGGAGAAATGCGAGGAGAGAGTGGGTATATCTAATAAAGAGCAGCAAAGAGCAGCCCGGCAGGGGAGCTGGGGAAGAGAAGTGAACCGTGGGATGATACAGGGCAAAGACAAATTCTGCTGCTCCTCCAGGACTCCCAGACAGAGGGGAAATAAAACAGCACCATTAATTTAGTCGAGGAGTTGCTAACAAGCTACTGCCAAGGTTTTCCATGATACTCCATAGCGAGTGGAAAAGCAAGCAATGTTATTGCAGAGGGAAATATGTTTATACTTGTAATGTAGCATTTTTCAGCTGGAGGCTTCCGGGACCTGCTGTTTTCCTCCAAATCTTTATTTGATAAAGTGGGGAAATAAACGTATTATAACTAAGGGCAATTCAGTGACAATTTAGCAACTGGTTTCTATTTTGGTGGCTTTTGAGGGTATCTAATGACTTTCAAACGGCCATAAAAAGTTTCTAAAGGAATTCCTGTGGCTTCAGTGCAACAGAGCCAGGACCTTGAGCACTGAAGGAGAACTAGCCTGAAGGACTACAGCAAAACTCCTGCTCGCTGAGCCCACGGGAGAAGTGGGAGCTGAGAGATACCCTACCTGAAGTGGGGTCCCAAGTTGAGCTCCGGAGCAAAGGGTTTGTCGGTGACAATTGTGGTGCCGATGCCGACAGCCCGGACAGGGATGACGTAGGTATGGCTGTCCTCTATGAACAGGTTCACCTCGTCCTTGAATTTCTCAGTGTCATCCAAGTTTGCTATGACAGTCACAGACACCTCGGTCTCGGGGGGGATCACTCCTTTACCAGGTTCAATCCTCCAGCGCGAGCATTTGCCAGCCTGTAAGACAAGCCAAGCACTACCTTAGGATGGAAACCATGGTACCTGGTCTCTTGTGGGATGCAGGAAGAGGAAGGACTAAAGACATGAGGGTAAAAGACATAAAGGCTTAATTTCCCTAGATCTAAGCTACAGTGTCTGCAAACAGCAACTATGAGGGAGCTTATACAATCTGTATTTTACCCTCCCTTAACAGACTCACTTCATTAACCCAGTCTTGCCCAACCCAAGGGATGTTCATCCTCAGGAAAAGGCTATTCCCCCTCCAGTCTCTCTTTTGGAGTACGTACCAAGGGAAGCTGCTTCATCTGACCTGCCTTCCTGACAACGGTGGCCAGGTTTGCGTAAAGGCTCAAGGCCAGGGGAAGCCAGGACTGCTCATATCCCACCACGGCTGCCACACGGCTGGGGGATACTGCTGAGAGCCTGAAGGACAACTCTGCAAAACCAGTTGATCAAAACCCCAGCACCAAAGTCTTCTTTCCCAAGCATTAGGCAGTGCTTCTCAACGGCTCCTGAAGGACTGAAGTGCTCGGTTCCCACAGATCATCAGCTGCAGCGAGGTGCCCCACTGTCCTCGGCTTCGGAAAATTCAGCTATAAATGTTTACAGCAGGGCAGCAAGGAAATAAGCAGAAAGAAAACTAAGACATCTGCCCTGTGGACACAGCCCGGGCTTCCCAAGCACTCTCTTCCTTTGGTTTCTCATGGACCTCCCTCTACGGATGGAGCAATAAGGGAGCTGGACCCCTGGTCCTTCTAAAACCACATTCACAGGGAGCAAGCTTGCAGCAGAGAGAGAGAGAAATGTATGCAGTGCTCCCTGGCCAGCACAAAATGCACTGGGATGTAGATGTACGGCTTCGAAACGTCCACCACGGTGTTGGTGGTACCTGCACCCCACGGTTCAGTGCTGTGTTTGGGATGACAGGCACTACTCACCCAAAACACTGCAATATTGTAAGAGAAGAGGTTTTCTCCTTATTTTTTTCCATAGAAAGCAACGATGTGCTTGGAGGCCTGACAGGATCCAAGCAAGCGCCTGATCCAGGTGAAGTTAGCTTGAGTTTCCGTCCGTCAGCCTGGCAGCACTGAGCTCTATCAGGACACCAGCCAGCCCAAGGGAGAAGAGCATCAGAAAACCGAGCAGCACTTCAAAGTCATGGAAAGCATTTTAAATAACCCCCCCAAAACAACCTCTGCTAACGAGGGTAAGACTAGCTGGAGGCCAGGGAAGCAATAACTTGCTGAGCATTCAGGGTCCCAGCAGCGTGCGTAGGTGCCCCAGCTATGATAACCCCTTAGGCTGACTGCGCCCTGCATGGAGAGCGGGTCAGGCCTGCATGCCTGCATCCCAGGATGGAGCAACGCTAAAGGCATCAAAATTATTCCAGGCACTGGCAAAATTAATAAACTCAGCTCCATTTAATTTGTCCTCTAGAGCTGCAAGAGAAAGTCTTAAAAAAAGCAAGATGAGAACGGGATGGAGGAAGGTAGTTGGGCACAGGCTGACCACTGGGGCTCTGCTGCTCCACAAGGACCAGGCTAGGCTTTTTTCACTCCTACATCTCCCACATTCATTATTACCTACAATCTGTTCTCCATTCTTCTGGTTTGGGACCTCATACTCTGTTCGGGAATATTCTTACATTCCCTTTGAGGTCTGGCTAATTATCATTTTGTTTTCTGCACCCCTGACACTCCTTGGTTGCTGAGGAGAAGCAGTGCTCCAAAACCAGGCTGAACTCAGGGCATCTAGCTAGACCAGAAGATGGCAAACAAAGCAAAACCTGTCAGCAGAGCTCTACCTGCTTCTCCAGAGAGACTACAGTCATTGAGCCTCCTGAAACCATCAAAAAATCATCACCAAATTCATTTTCGCCTCAAAGGCCAGTGATGCACACAACCCCAGGCAGGTAGACAAGAGAAGACTGACCTCACTGACCACATAGGATCCCACCAACCCTCTTCTGTTGTCCCTTCATGCAGCGCGTAGCTGATTCACTAGCCTCAGAGGCATCCACTGCGCTGCCATCAGCCAAGGGCTACCCAGCCAACACGTTCGTACCGAGCCGGTGGGTGTTAGGTTTTCACTGACATTAATGTATAACTTTACCTCTGATTCATGCTGACACAGGGTAGCTTGCTTGAAAAGGAGACCTGATAGCTCTGCTCCAGAGGTGAATCTGCAAGTCTGCTATCTGACAAAGCTCATTTATCAAAGCTTGGCAACAAGCCGGGCAGTAAATTGTACCCAAGAAACTATTACTGAGAAATAACGATAGGCTGTCTCGATGGAGCCAGACTTTGAATTTCCCAGGGTGACCCAGCGCAGACCCACCATGCCCTGCCAGGCCAACAGCCCACTCCGGAGGAGCGTGATTTGCATGGTGTCCTCATTCCTTCGGTTAGCATTTGGTGTGGGTCCAAGGGGCAGCACAGCGCATCACTGAACAGGACACCTGCCAGGACCAAAAGGCTCTGCCGGGCCAGATTCACTCAGGTTTCTAGGTCAGCTTCTGCCTACACCCATCCAGGCTGCGTCCCAGAGACAAGAAAACTCTTGGAGCCATGCTAAAAAACTCCATCGCTTTAGAGACCAAGATCTAACTTCTGATAACATCCCTGCTACTTGCTCATCCCTGAATGCTCTGAAAAACGATGCAATAGCTGTACGCACTGGATAGACAAAGACGGTGGCTAGTTTTGTCCCTATAAGAGCTCGCGCTATTGGACATCAGAGTCCCTGAGTGCTAGGCAAGGGCAGGGATCAATCACTTAATCAAGAAGTTCAATGCCGAGATCATTAGCTTCTCCCAGGACAGATTTCCATTGTGAATAAGAGCTGCCAAAATTTGATTATAATGGACACCGGCGTGCATTGAGAGACGGATGGCTGGCTGCCCTAAGGGACGACTGAGGAGCCACCACACTCAGTTCTCTTGAAGCTACTTAAAGCTAGTTAATGAAAGTGATCTGGTCATTCTGGCCTTGCACGAGTGAAAGAGGAAGCAGAACTCAATATTAAAAATGCTGCTGTACTTTACCAAGCCACAGCTCTGATGAGAGAGCATTCACACCTTGTCAGGCTGACCCATCGCTCCTTGCAGAGGTTGCACATGAAGGGGAAAGAAAACCCCATCCTACATCAGTTGTGCACAGAGCCTTGTCCCAGGTGTTTTAGCAGTCCCGAGGTGGGGGACCCCGTGTTCTTCATTTCAAAGCTACTCTTTATCCGCACAAACTGCCTGTGGCAGAAAACAACCCAAAAGCACCCCGAGCCCCAGCAGGATGTGGAGATCAGAGCGTGAGGCTGGCTAGATGCTCCCACCGCCAACCAGCCTCCTCCTGGCACCTCAGCACCAGCATCTCCTCGGCAAAAGCATGGGGACCACTTTGGTTTAGCCTCTGTCCCAGCGCACCATCAAGGGGGAGTTTTATGAAATCAAGGGGCAGAGCCTGGCTTTAGAGCCAGTAAAAAAAAAAATAAAAATTAAAGTGTGGCACCCACTGCCACTGACAGTGGAGCCTCATTCGTCATGCTCGGTTCAGCTCATAGCAGACTGCTGAGTGAGCCAACGAAGTCCCCACCTGTGTCCCCTGTCCACAGCTCACCCCTCCAGATCCCATCTGCTCTCCCCGCTGGGCTGGGGAGACCAGGGCCCCCGCTCTGCACGTGGGGGTTCCCCAGCCAGGACATGGGCACGGCTTGGCCGGCTGCTGCCAAGCACGACGTTTAATAACCAAACTCCTCCCGCTTTTCCTTTGGGAAAAGCACTCCACTGAGTCACTCTTGCTTGTAGGAACATAATTTGCCTTCAAGGCTTCTACCCTTCTTTAATTCAGTTGGCCAACGGGTGCAGCTCAATATGAGCAGCTTAGTTTCCCTAGACGAGCAGAATAACAATTTCTTTGAATTACTGAAATACAGCAATTTTGAAAGGGCATGAACTCATATAAGATACCCAACGTGATCAAAAAAAAGCAACTCTTCCCTGTGGCCAGGTTTCAGGCGCCTTTTCCAAGGTCTCCTCCAAACCTCTGCTGCCCTTTTTAAGGGCCTAAGCCTGTGCAACACTGGGAGGGACACAGCCTTCCACCTTCCTCAGGTTTTCATACAACCGGTCGCCAGCACAAGACTGGACGCTCCTGGCCCTGACCCCTGTTCACGACCGATGCCGTGAGTTTCCAGGCATGGTCCAGCTCTGGCAAGACCAAACTGGGTGGAAATCAGCAAATTGGTACTGCCGTATTAGCAAAACACAGCCTTTAAAAGCCAAACCAATGGTTTAAGTCTAAAGGTGAGCTTTCAGAGCACCACGAGGCTCTGGTGGGACAGCTCTGGAAAGAGTTAAGCCTATGCATCTTATCTTCAAAAGCTCTGCTCATCTCGGAAGAGACCGCATATTCAGGGCCAATGCTGCCCGCATCCTGGAAAGTTAATTTAACACTCATTTCTAAATAGCACTGCAGATATCATTTGAAGGGCACGGCACTGTCTGCCTGTGTCTCGCTATGAGCAAACACTGACGGGGCTGGCTAATTATTCAGATGCTTGGGGGGGAAAAAATAATGTAATTTACAGTAGATTTAAAAATCACCCTCTTGCCAATTCAAGTCTGCTCCGACTTCACTGAGAGCAGTTGGAGAGAGCTATGAACAATGCCGACACGCTCTTCAAAGCCTTCCCTCCCCGCAGCCTGCACAATTCGCTCAGATAACAACAAAATCGCCCATCAGCTGGAACAAGAAAGAGAATCACTAAAGCAGCATCCCTTTACTGGCACTGTTTTTAAGTTTATCTCCACGTTTTGCTGTCTCTCCATATGGCCGTTTCTTTAATAAAGGGAATGTCGTCAAAAACTTGAGATAATAAGCAATGAAATCAGTAAATGAAACAAATCCTGCACTAACGAGGAGAGAGGCAACTATGGGAATGGGAACTGCGTGTTCTCCCCTTGCTTACACCAAGTTTGACCAAGAGATTTTATACGCTGCCTGAAAATCAGTTTATTTTCTCCAGTGAATCCCAGTGAGAAGATAAACAGCTACGGCTTTGTTTGTTTTAAACAAACAGAACTTGGTCTCTTCTGCAACGTCAGCTCCAGTTGAATCTGATGGCAGCTCACCTCTGGGAACGTGGAAGGGGATTTGCTCGCCAGGCACTCTCCTGAAGACGACGACACATCTGGCCGTACGACCGCTGCTGGCAACCAGGCAGCAGCGAGCTCCGTCAAGAGCCCAGGGCTCTGGATTAGGGAGGTCAAGGATCAGGTCAAAGGAGACAGGACCCCAAATTAGGAAATGGAGCACCATCACTAGAAGAGGAAGTCCCAAGCAAGGTTTTCTCTCTCCTCCCTCATTACAAGGCACCAGCAAACCACCGATTGCCTCCCTGCGGTAGCACATAACAGACCCAGCACGGTGGTTATGCAGGCAGAAGAAAGCTGCCACTGATTAACAAAAATTACACCCTAGGCCTGTCTTTTCTTTCCTGATCACACAGGTGTGATACGCAGCTGCCTTCCCTGATGCCGACAGATGTCATTCTTAGTAGCCGAAGAAAAGACCCCCGGGAAGACAGAGTGACAAAGAACAAGTAGGAGATGATCAAAGAAAGATGCTTTTTCCTCTCTGCCTTTCTGCAGGAAGAGCAAACGCTTCCATTAAACAATATAACTCCTCTGCACTTGTCAATATGGCAAAAAGCAGACACTTAGGGAAACAGGAAAAGAAGGTGACAGCAGCAGCAAGGAGGAGAAACAGCCGCCTTTTTCAGCGGGTCGCATCAGCCCCCAGCTAAGCTGCAGCAGCTCCTTCACGTTGACCTATTCCTCCAGTCTTTTCTACCCATGAAAAAGGCAAACCCTCCCCTTGCTGGTTCCAGAGAGTGCTCTGAAAGAGCTGCCTGGCAGCTGGGAAAGCAACCTGACAAGGAAAAGTACATCAGACAGACCCAGGATCCAGTGGATGAACATGGGGTGACACACTGGTCCCAAGGGTCACAGACCTGCAAGATACCCTGGCAAGCAGGGATAAGCCAACAGAGGACTAGGGCATGAAGTCCCTACACTCCTCTTCAAACCCCAAAAGCCCCACCTCAATGCACAGCTTTGGAGGTTTTTTATTTCCTTCTGGCAGCAGGAGATGCTCAGTGCTGCTCCCCACAACTCATCCAACGGAGAGAAGCGAGAATAGGGGTACAGGGAAGCCTGTGCACGAGGGGTACTCCAGGTAATTCCTAAAGTCACTATCCCAAAGCAAAGTTATCAACAAAAAAGCATCTCGGCTTGCTCTTTTCTTCTCCCACAAAGCTAGAAGAAAAGCTTGACTTGACAGGAACAGCCACTTGCATGTGATGGTTAAGAACACCACCAAGGTGGCGGCATGGCCATCTGCATTACAGCATTTTCCTTTTCTGTTTCCAACAAGACACCAGCCTTTTACTTGCCCTGTTGCTGCCCCTTAATTTAATCTCATTCAGTCTGTTGAGCTGCCAGTCAGCGCGCTGTAACATTGCAGATCCAACGCTGCTGTGAAAATTTCAAATCAATAGCTCTTTCTTTCAAGTGGGGACCGTGATCCATAAGACTAACTGCAAACAGTCACGGTTTCGAGATTGGCCATCAAATGGGAGACAGGGAAATCACGGCTTGCCATCCTGCAGCAATCTCCAAGCAAGAAATCAAAGCAGCAGCTTTGGCATCTTAGAGAACACAAGACTTGAGTTAAGGGGCACAAAAGTGAATGAAGGATGCCCAAGTCACCCACCAGCTAGGCTAAGGGACAGCCGGAACCAGTTCTGCTCTCAGAGGTACATGTGCCGTTCACCCTGACACCCAAATGTATCTCAAATTTTATCTCCAAGATTACACAGTCCGCTCTTCTTCCCATCAATAAACTGCCAGGCAGCCTAAGGCAGCAGCAAAGGGCGAAACTTCAACTGAGGCAGCAAAACAGCACCGAAGTAGGGCAGCTGCTGAGGGCAAGGGAGTAGCTCGAGCACATCTCGCCTGCCGCAGTGCTGCTCCCATCAGACAGGCTCAGCATCACGGTGTTGAAGAGTCTGAAGAGCCCTTGTTGAAACGGCTGATCGAGCGGGTTCCCAGGACCTGCCTCCTTGAACATCTCCCTGATATCAGCAGCTATCCTGAGAAGCCGAGATGCTCACCATGAGGTAACTCAACCCTGTGAAGTCAGCAGAGTCCCTCTTTACTGCAGGAAAAGAAACCATCCCTGAACCACCTCATATTATTCTTCTATCTGTTGGTTAGCCACAAGATTTGCAGCGATTGCAGTGAAGCAGGATAGGATTTATTGCCCAATCCCATGAATTAGGGCACTGAGGCAATGAAGAGGCAGATGTACCCCTGCAAGCCCCCCAGCTACACTGCAAGCTGCCCAGGGGAGGGAGGGAAGGGATTACACCGGGACAGCAGTACCGAAACAGAGCTCTGCAGGTCAGTCTTGGGTACAAGCATGCAAAACCCATCATTTATACACCAGTACCACCCATCTGAGGTGGCTTGCTCTCTGCAGAGATGGAAAGCAGATTTTCATTGTGGAGTCAAAGAAAGCTGCCCACTTTGAGGTTACATTTATCCTCCTGGGCACAGAAACTGGAGTGAAACAGCTGGAAAAGCAGCAACAGGGAAATCCAGCCTGGGTTAACCAGCCCCAGAAGTTCAACCCACCTAGCACAGCGAAGCACAAACCTCCTCCAAACCCTGTTTTCCTGCCCCGATCCGCCTCCCCCCAGTGAGGAGCACATCCATCCAGCCTCAGCACGCAAGCCCTTCCCAGCTGCATCATCCCTGCTCCTCCTGCCAGGGAAGCAGCCAAGCTCTCCTCCTGCTATGCAGCTTGTCGCACTACGCAGCCTCCACGAATTAAATAGCCTTTTTCTGCAGCTAGTCTCCAGAGACGCTCCGCAACGCTACGGAGTCCACAGACTCCATAAGTACGCGACCCTTACAAGTATATTTTTGTGCAATAACCCAGCTGGTTTGACCCCCAGTAGAGGTGAAACTCACCTCACCATGAGCAGTTTGAGGACAGACCCTAGTCTCTAGTGGTAACAGGAGTTTGAGGCACCCAGCACGCAGACGTAACAGGGAAACCGCAGGGAAACCCATGCCCTTTCAGGAGCGAAGGGCCACAGGGTTCTCTTGATCTCAGAGCTTCAAAAACGTGACTCTCGGAGCTAAATACCATCCACAAAATAAAGGGAGAACTTGTAAAAATGATCCAGACTCATTTCTGCTCAAACATCTATGCAAATTCTCGATTTTACTGAGGGGTCCCCCAGCTAAAACTGCCCCCAGAGCCAGGCTCCTCTTGCTGCGTTGTGGTGGAATATCTTGCTTTCTCTCTTAGATCGCGATACGGAAGTGTTGCATAGTCACAATCTAGTGCAATCAAGTCACAGGCTGCTATGGACCAGTCATTTTTGTTGGAAAATAGCCCCACAGATGCTTACCATCTCTGCCCAGAAGGATGCAGGGATGACAGTCTGATTGGAGAGGTGGAGAGTTCGGGAAGCATCTTGTAGAACTTGGATACTGCCGAAATTTATCTTACTCGGATGCACGTAGACAACTGGTCCTTCTCCAATGCTCACTAAATGGATTTTCTGCTCCAAGGAAGCAGGTAGGAAGGAACAAAAAAAACCAAAACAACAAAACAGGGAAAGGTTAAAACGATTAGACAGCTCTAAGGCCCTCCTAGACTGGTGGATAATTATGGCTGTCTGAAGTTTTCAGTGTTGTAAGTGATGCAGAAGGCCTGGAGCAAGCGTGGGATCTAGAGTGATCCCATCTGAAAACCACAAGCTCCCTTTATCAGGGATAAAGAAACCCAGTTTCCCATGCTTGCTTTTCCACACCTCCTCCACACTGTTAGCTCTCCTTCCTCTACCCTGCGCCTGCTCCCACTCCTTTTTCTGCTCAATCTTGCCCCAAACCACCCTCCCTGACTTCTGCTCCTGCACGGCCACGCTTGGACAGTAACTTCTTTTAACATTCCCAAAGCCACACCTGTAAAACCAGCACAAGTCAGCAGCAAAGCAGGCTCTTCAGAGTAGAGACCAAGTTAGTTGCCTCTGATTTGTGCTTATGTGTATTCCTGATATTATATGAAAACAGACATTAATTATTAATTACATCATGAATGATGTATGAATTATGATAATTTTTTTCTTTTGACAGCCTGAGACCCAAAAGTTTTGTTCTTGCAGAACTGGCACAGAGTATTGGAGGAGGAACGCGGATCCCTTTCCTGAACCACCTTCCCACATCATTAAAAACAATGAGAATTTATCCAGTCTGGCTGGATTTCACTAGTTCTAAACACCCCAACTCTTAAATAGGACCTGAATGCATAAAACTCCCAACACTGACAAGCTGCTGTATGATTCACTGGAGGGCACGGAGTACGATTTAACCACAAAAGAAACCAGCCTCCATGATGTAAAACCTTTAATGATATCTGACTCGAGCAAACGGCATCGACAGCTGTCAGAATCACTAGTCCAACTCAGTCAGAAGGAGCAGCATCCAGAAACACTCATCCCTTTACAGGACACTACTGCGTGCAAGTAAGAGCCAAAAATCACGTACCAAGGCTGGTACCTCAAAAATAAGGAGCTGAAGCCATACATGATGATGGACCTTTTATCCCTCCGGGAGAAGGGAGACATGGAGAGCTGCAGTCTGGGTGATGCTGCCCAAAGCTCCCGGGAGGAAGGAGCTGGAGGGAAGAACTGTGCCTCACCAGCTGGCTTTGCCTCCAGGCGACGCCAGTGCGGAAGCAGCCAAGGCATCTCCAAGGGCAGAACCCTTTGGAGATGGGCAGAATAACATCTGGAGGATGCCCAGGCTAGCTGGCTTCCGTTAGAGCGTGTACTAACACGATATATCCTCGCCGAGGAAAGGGCTTATAAAAAAACCCCTTCATCTACAGTTGTCTTAAAAGGGACAAGAAAAACCCCGTTCAACAGCGTTAGAGGCAATGACACACAGGGAAAGGCGGTAAATGACATTTGACCTAACTCTGTAAAGACTTGGCGTCAATTCCAGACGGCATAACCTAAGACAGCAAGAGCGAGCTTATATTTTGCTTTATTGCAATACATTGCAGCAATTCCCCTGAGGTCAGATTTGCATCATATGATCCATACGGGTAGGATTTGCCACCAGTGCAGGATGTAATGTCACATTTGATCATTTAGGAACGAAGAGCATCTGTCCCTGGCAGACAGCCGCTGTTTGAGTGACCGCTTATTCTGATAGCGGCCAGCTGCCAAATCCCCTGCCCGTGGCACACGAGGCTGCCTTGCCACCGGTAACCCCAGGGTTGGGTTTTACCAGCTCCTTAACGCAGGAGATTACATACACCAAATTGAAGCTGGCACGCAGTCACCGGCAAACAAAATACCAGGCAACAGACCCATGGAGGGACCCTACACAACCTGGATGAAAGATCTGTATGACATTTCACCTAACTCTGTAAAGACTTGGCGTCAATTCCAGACGGCATAACCTAAGACAGCAAGAGCGAGCTTATATTTTGCTTTATTGCAATACATTGCAGCGATTCCCCTGAGGTCAGATTTGCATCATATGATCCATACGGGGAGGATTTGCCACCAGTGCAGGATGTATAACAAGATGGTTAGCTGTTCTGCTAGCCCAGAAAGCTCTGGACCAGGGAACGACTGAAACACCCCCCAAACTATAGGGCAGTCCTATAGAAAATGCAAAGAATCTCACCTGACAGCCAGAAACTCACATCTGTGCTGTCAATATACCCAGCGAGGTTTCTAACAGCACTCGCTGGGTGCTAGCAGCAACCGAACATAAACGCTGCATGTTAAAGATCAACTTAATGGGGTCACACGCTCGCACAATCTCATGCTAGTCATTTCTTTAGGGACAGCTAGGATTCTCCAGCTGAAATGCTCGCCCTTTGGGCAAAAAAATTGACATATTCCTCTCCAAATAAAAAAGATTAAGGTAGAGTCTGAAACTATAAATTGTTAGCCCAAGGGTTAAAGCTTTGCAAGAACACTGTAGTTAAACAAGCTAACAGTTAAACAGCTAGGTTATTTTAGAAGGGAGAAACCCTCCTTTATAAGGGAAGCGCCTTATATTTATGAGCAACTGTTTTGTCCAACTTCAGACTTGCCTGCAAAGCCTGCATTGCCTGGCCTTCCTGTTGACTGGTTTACATGCACATCCCCAAATGCCTGGGTTGAGATGTTCAGTGGCATCCAGGGGATTTACCATCATTTCCATTCATTTTAATGAAAGTTTAAATCCCTTAAACTGCTTTCAAAATGTCAGCCTTCCTTTCCGTTACAGAAAGCTTAAGGTTCCCAGCCATCCTCTGACATCCTCTTTCATGCTCAGAGGGATGACAAGACATTTTAAAACAGTTGCTTCAAAAGTTAATATCATTTTAAATTAAAGTTTAATTAACTAAATTTGTTCTAGATTTCAGCTAGATGAAGCCAGGACACAACACAATGTTCTCTTGCCTACATTTTGTTGTTGTTACCGCTGTTGTGTATGCCCGAATGCAAACAATGTCTTTTAGGAGGCTTCAGCCTAGGAATGCTTTGCCTCTTCCATTTCCAAGCTTGGTAGAAAAAGAAAAGTCTCTGTGCTCCAGATGCAAGCAGTGTGGACACTCGTGTCTTTGGCTGGGGCTTTTGGCAAAGAGATTTGATGGATACTTCTCAGATGGTAGAAAAATGACTTTCAGAAAAGCTTAAAAATCTTAAATCCAGCTTTGCACAAAACATCACTTCAGCATGGTTTCTTACACAGCGCTCGCTTTAGCGGGATTCAGGGAGGTCCCTGTGTGCTCCTGAACAAAAGTCCTAATGAAGCAGCAGTTGCTGTTCATCTAATGACACAGCAGAGTACGAGACCCAGGGACTGTGCTGAGTTTCAGACTAGGCTCGTTATCCCGTCTCACATATCCATAATTAAATGCTGTGTCAGACACTTGGATTATCACCTAAGAGGATACCATCCTTCCTCTTCTCTAGGCATTAGCTGTTGCTCGTGAATCCCTTCTCTTCCTTGTCCACACCAGCCATATATTACAAGTTCTTGTTTTGCCAGGAAGAATCCCTGTACGCTTTGTGCCCCACCAAGATGAGTCGCACAAAGGCACACATCTCCCCTAGCGCTCACCAGTGGGGATCCTTCGCTCCCAAACACAGCGACACGAGCAACAGTGTGCTGCTCTCCGGTCACCTGGGCTTCCAGTGTAAACGGAACCTCTGCCGAGCTGTGAGGCTGGATGATCCCACACGGCTCAGGGCTGGAGTACCGCACGGCAGCATCCTCCTTGTGTTCCTGTAAGGGACAGAATCAACCCCAACTTCAGAATTACCTTTGAGGAAACTTTAAACTCCTTGACATTTACCACAACGATACACACTTTTTAAAAAAAATCCCCGGGAGAAAGCAGAAAGGCACAAAACCAGATGGAAGACTAGTAAGGGCTTAGCATCCTGAAGGGGGTCCAAAAGCTGCTGCATCCATAAACACGCACTCCTGTGCTGGCAGCCTCCTTGCAGCAGCTTTTCATGACCCTCTAAGTTCTCCTGCATGAAAGCACTCCAAGGACTAGAATATAAACTGCTTCCTAAAGAGTTTAAACTGCTTCCTAAAGTTTATATTCAGGTAGGTTCCTATTTAACTGCTTCCTAAAGTTTATATTCAGCTAGGTTCCTGTTCTCAGCAAACCTTTAGGTTTGAATATAAACCAGCAAGGTCTTATCCAACCCCCTTTTTTTCCTAACAAACCCCTCGATAACATTTGAGGGCAGGAGGCAGACGCGATGCCAAACCTGAGGAAGAACCCCGTAGCAGCCTGGAAGATCGCTGTCGTTCACAAGGGTCAGCATCTGCCGATAAGGGAATTTTAGAAAGCACCGTCCAAATGTCACGATGGGGTTGAGCACTCGCAGCGGAGGAACTACGCATCTAGGCAAAGAGATGACCAAAAGGGAATTAGGGATACCGAGAGAATGCAGAATTTGTTTACTCCTCGGATAGCGTGAAATGGAGCATAACACATTTGTCACTGTCAAACAGACATTTATTATCCCTACAGCAATACATCGCCTTTAACTTCTTTTTATTCACTTTTATTCAACAACCTCTTGTAAAGGAGGGGCAAACTCTGAGTCTCAGCATTGCAGAGGCTTGCCAGTGTGGCCAGTGCCCAGGCAGAGCACCGTGCCCTGTCTCAGAGCTGTCTGATGGGCACCTTTGCCCCAGGAGGCTTGCAAGGACCCTCCCAATGGCCCCAGCAAGGCGTGAGCTCTGGGAGAGCCTTCCCACCGAAGACCAGCGCTCACCAAGGCTCAGGGAACACAAGACTCCAGTGCCTCAGTAAAAACGACTCCCTCCTCTCCCATACCACTGTGACCCTGCCTGAAGACTCAGCCACTTGTCCCAGCGATGGAGGGCACAAGCCACCAGCCGCCTTATGCAGTGAGTAGTCACCCTTGCCCCATTTCTGTAGCTACCTTGGTCCTTCACCCCCACGGGTCCATACGCCGTCTGTTCCCATTTGCACGTAGTTTCTTATTTTACAAGACTGCAGCCCAGGCACTGACTGGACGACTCTGCCTGGGAGAGGGAAACTGCATCCCCCTTGTAATTAAACTGACACTCACTGCAGCACAACAGGATTGAATCCGGCTGCAGCCAGAACAACTTTTGGCTTAAGTCTTGACAACATTAATGTTCAAAAGAACCAGAGGAAAGCAGAGGAACCTGAGCTCACCTTCCACATCAAGGACTTCCCCTTCATAAGATCTTGCCTTCATTTTTCCCTCACCAGTCCTGCCATAAGCCCCTTCCCCATTTGCACATGCCTTCGTTAACTGAACCAGACACCAGCTTTCAGCAGGCTGCTCGCTGCGTCCCAATGAATGTTGTATTTTGGTCGCAACCCAGCACAAGTCCACCACTTGCAGGAAGAAGGAGAGGCAGCCCTTTGGAAATCTGTTACACCTCAAGAACCAAAAACCAGGCCAATAATGAATATAATTACTGTTCCCTTTAGAAAAAGGCTCAGGGCCATGCCTGTCCGTTGAGCACAGGTGCTTCTCAACACGGGCTGCTTTCAAAGCACTGCTGTTCTCATATCTAGCTGGGCAGACCTAGCTCATCATTAAGCAACGCTTCTCGTTTGGAGTTGGAGCCAGCAAACCGCGTGCAAGGCAGCGTGCTGGTGGTGGATGCACGAGGAGAGACGATGAGCTGCAAGGAAAGCGCCGATACCTGGCTGTGAGAAGCAATGCCAACACCTCCTTGCCAACACCATCCACATCCACCACCAGTGCCAGCTCGTATCTCTTCACAGTGTTGGAACACAGGGTAACCTGGCGAAAGAGAAGAGCATCAAATACTTCATCACTCCCAAAAAACAATCGTCCATGTGTGGTGTCCTCTGGTTCTCATTCCACGGTAAGGAAAGGGAGGATTTTGCCCTAATTCTTCTGCTGGTCCATGTGTAGCGCACGGTCTCTAGGAGTAATAAAAGTCTTCTGACAATATCTGCTTTGTTAAATACACCGTGCAGTTATCAGGGCATATGTAAGCTAAATTAAAGCACTATTAGACTAATGCTCTACTCACCACTGTATTAAAATTAAGGGACCAGTTCTTAATCTCAACTACAATGGCATAAATCCAGAGGAAACCTGTTGACTTGAACAGAATGAGTTCAGCTTTACAGTGGGAAGCTGAGGACAAAACGTGGCCCAGCAGATGCTGTGCAGGTCACGGCTGCCAGAGCTTTTTCAGTCGCCACTGGAGACTACTGCAGTGAATACAGCTCCTTCTGCTCAACAGGAGAGAAGAAATAAGACCGGGAAGAAAAGCAAACTGCTTTATACAATGACATCTCTCTTTTTCACAGCCACCTTCTCTCCTCAGCCTTCCTCTGCCCACTTCAAATCACAGAAATCACTCTAAGCAGCTCTCAAATACACATGAATGGCTTCCGTACTCGGCTATACAGTACAAGACCTTCAGCTTACGATTTTGGAAACAAAACGGTGCTCCTCCAAAAACGCACCAGAGTAACCCAGCCAACAAAAGCCTAACACTAATGCATGGATCTTACTCGCATTATGCTAGCAGCACTGTAGCCCTCTCATACATCAGTGAAGCTTCAGCTCCACCTGCTGAAGCACGTACGGCCGGAATCTTCCCATACCTGGATATCCAGGAGTCCCTGGGAGCGGATGGTCCCTCTGCAGGGCCTTATGGTAAATTCGGTTGGCTTGACGTGACCTTGGGCTCCCTTCCTCCAGGAAGGGCGAGTGTTGTCTGACATCTGAACAAAACTGGTAGCACTGGGCTCTCCCGAGCCATCTCCGGGAATGCGAAGGTTGAAAGTCATGGGCACCAAGGAGGTGTTAGTGAGGCAACATGACAAGGTGCGAGGAAAGCCTAGGAAAATGACACAAGTAAGAATTTATGCTCCAATTATCCCGTGATTCCTGGTGTGAATATCCTGTTGTGATAAAACTGTGCTTGGAGTTTAGCTCTTTTCAGTCTGAGTTACAGCTAATTGAGAAGCTAAGCAAGGAATTAATCGTCACTTAAGTTTCCTTTTACCCTGATGACAGAGACTGCTTCCTTGGCAATGCCTGCTCTTAGCGATGCCGAACACCAGAAGCTTTTCTCTAATTCTGCAGCTGTCTCACATGCCCCCAAACCAGCACCAATTTTTTCTCACTTACGAGTGTGCATCCAGACAGACCATTCATTCTGAAAATTCAATCCATGAAACTCCCCGTTACCTCCGTGAACACTCCCACAGTTTTCAATATATGTAAGTAGTGTATTGTCATCAAGGAGAAGCTACAGTAAAAGAAAGGATGGATGAAACTGGGAACTATAGCATGATGCAAAGCACTCTAATGCAGTTTCTCTAGGCAGGATCCTTAAGGCATCTCCTGTTTTGGGGCAACCAGACTGAGCGTGTAACAATCTGCAGCCCGCTTCAGAGGAGGCAAGCCTGCTGCTTGCTTAGAAATTAGCAGGAACTGTGTCTCACCTTACCTAACAAATGGGGACATCATATCCACACCGCACACTGGCTTTGATTACTGCCCGCGAAGGTTTACATCACTTCAGCTTTGATACCAGCTTTCATTATGCACCAGTGATACAACCACACCTGGGGGGGGACGTTCTCCAGAGACAGGACACCAGCCCACAACCTGCTCTGGAGCGGACATCTGGCTTGGCTGGCCAACTCTGTGAGGAGGAGACATCTCCCATAGCCTGCTTACCAAGCGGTATTTGAATACAGATGGGGAGGAAAACCAACTGCAGACACAGCAGGTAATTTCTCCATCACTGGTGCCACTGCCCACCTCCAGCAGTTACTCCAGCAGGGAGGCGGGAGGTACACAAAAAGGACAAACACAGACTTCACAATCCCAAATGAGACCGGAGTCGCCAGACGCAGACAACAGTCAGCAGCACAGTTAAAAAGCAAAAATACAATAGCTGCCTTTCAGCTGAAAAGGCCTTATTAATGAAATCAGATGAAGTAGGATGAACCCTCTATTACATAACCGTATTTTTGCCTGGTGTATTTCTTGCTGTTTTATTTATTCAAAAGGAAACAAAGAAGTGGCAGAGTGGTGATGTAGGGACAGGAGGAAGCGGCTCAGGAAAGGTAATGAGTTTTCTTAAAAAGTCCATGAACAGCATGAAAACAGAGAGGCATCCCGGGCGCAGAATGATAATGGCCCTTCAATCAATCCACAATTGATTTCACATTTAAGCTTTAAATCATCTCAGTAAAAAGCCTTTTGTGAGACTGAGATGGAGAACCAGAATCTGCATTTCAATGGAGACGCTCTGGATGCTCAGTCACTGGCTCTGTCAGCAGAGCTGGGCTTTCAGCGGGGAAGATGAGGGAGCCCACGTCTCTGAGGACATCAGTGCCTGACGCAGAGCCATTGCTTGGGCATATTACCTGGTAGGTGATAACGAGGCGCCCTCACAGCACTAATTAACATCTCACACGAAAGGTCAAGTGGGTAAATGGTGTCCCTGCCTTGCAACAGGAACATTTACCCAGAGCAGCTACAGGCTAGTACGTGGCTTAAACTCCCTTCTGCAGTCCCATCCCCTGGGCCCTTCGGGGACAAGGACTTTCACAGTCCTTCTGCTGCCAAGGATAAGCAGCCCTGGTTTTAACACCCTGAAGGCTGCTACAGAGGAACACAAGTGACAGATGCTCTTATGTTAAAGCGCTCCATTTTAGTAACACACAGACCTCTCAACCTGCGGTCCCAGCCCAGGGCACACTCACCAAAGGAGACGTCACCGAACCGGAGGGAAGGTACGTTGAAATGAAAAGTCGGTCCGATGACACAGCCCCTGTGAGGATAAAGACAGGCAGAGGAGACATTGGCTTGGTTAGAGAAGTGCAAAGCATTCAGCTTTCGTTACCGCTCGGATGGATAAAGGCTGGTCTCAGAACCACAGTGGGTTTCAAATCAACCCATCACCCTGCTGCTCAGCACGGCATTCACGTGGACAGGAGGCAGCCAAAGCAAAGTGGTCAGCAGCTGATTGCTGCTGATGTGGCTTAGGGCACCAAGTCAAGGCAGGGGGCCAAGGGTATGCCCCCAAGTTGCTGCTGGCCCGATGAAGGACCCGTGATGGCTCCGTGCCTCAGTTTCCCCATCTGTAATGTGATGGACACAGAGGTGTCCACCCAAAAGTGGACTCACTGTAACTAGCCTTCCCAGCTGCAGGTTCCCTGCTTTGGTATTTCTTAGCTGGAACTGGTGTTTCCATGGAGTATATGAACATCTTTTCCTCAGAAGATCTTGATCCACGCAACCATTAGGCACGCAGGATTTCGAGGCATGAATCCAGGGAGGGCCCAGACACCCATTGACCGCAACAAGAGCGGCAACAGTTCTACAGAGTGGACAGCCAGATCTTGGAGAAAAGTATCAGCTTGTCACCAGTGCGCCAGCCGACACACGCAAGAGCAACACACGTCTTAAACAACTAAACATGAGTGTCCTGAACCCACCACACCTCCTCGCCCGTCCTTAAATTCAGCAGCCAGGCTCCAAACTCCAAAACTCACCAACATCCACTGAAATCAGCACTTGGAGCTGCACAACGTTCATTCATTTCACGGTTGATGCCAATCAATGCCAACTCTGCCTCTTAGTTAAATCAGGGACCACAGTGAATGGTGCCTTCCAGTTTTATTCACAGGACTGCCACTGGTCTGTGCTGCACATGAACAGACCCCAGCATCCTGCAGGAGGGACCTGCGTTCATCTGTGGTGTCCCGTTTCCAGCATCCCTTTCTGAACACCAAAAAAAGCAACCATTCAGGACCTCGTAAGGTTGGTTTCCAAGTAAAGAATAATCACCTGTGGTTTGGGCATCTTCTGATTGCATAGTCAAAAAGCACTCAGAAAAAACTGACCTTCAGGAGTTTCAATCCAACGCTAATTCTCGATTCTTGGAGCTGAATCAGTTCCTGAGAATAAGTCAGGTAGCAAATCCCTGCTGCTGCTGAAGATCCCTCTCCAAGGGCCTCACATAATCAGGCCTAACCTCCCAAGCCCCAAGAGCTTACTTGGGATGGAGCAAAGGGAGCAGACATGCTTTCCGTCACAGCACTTGCCAGGAGACGATGGCAAACTACCTCCAAACCAACCACAGCTGGGGAACACACTGGGCAACGGCCAAGGATGAGCCTTGCCAGGCAAGCGAGGAAATGACTGCCATTTCTGCTGAGTGCACCGTATCCGTGCTCAAGTAAGTTAAACCTGAGTGACGGCTCGGAAGGCTCAGGCAAGGAGCCAACCCAGAGCTCTGTGCACCACAGCTGATAACAGTACGGCTCACAAGAAAATGGGGGAAAAAGCAGTGGGTTTGGCAACAACCGTGTTTTACAGTAGTGTTAAATAATGCACTTGTGAAGGGAGATCAGGGCCCTTGCAGAGCAGGAAGGATAACGCAAGGTGGGAGAGGAACCACTTGAACACTCATCCCTGTTTCTTCCTTTGCAGCCCAGTGTCCCACCAGCCAGCTCGCCTCCGTTCAAAAGAACTGGGAGTTTTTCCTCCATGGAGGACTAAATCCAGTGCACAAAACCTCCCGAAGAGGGAGGCTCAGCTTGACCTGGTGGGTGGACACCTCAAAGGCATTTGAAAACAAACAGCTTGAGTCGTGGCACTGGAGAATGAGAGATAAGGGCTGGGTAGGGATCCTTGAAAAAAGGCAAGGCAGAAACCAAGGAGGCAGATGCCATCTCAGGGAGGAGCGGACTGCAAGGGGAATTACTGCTGAGGGACAGCTGTATGGGAGCAGGGGGGGATGCTGGGGTACCATCAGATGGGCTGCATAGCAGCCACCGTCCAGGAAAGAGGAGTCCAAGGATGGGGAAGAAATAAATAAAAAAGGACCAGCAATCCTCTTGCACTGAGATATAAGGTCTGCACTGAGCCCAGGGTGGTGCTGGCAGAACAGGGCAGAGAGCGGCCACAGAGGAGGGGAGGACATGCTGGGCACTGGGAGCCAGGGCATCAGTGGGGAAAAAAGGACCACTTCAGCTGGCTGTGGGAAAGCCAAAAGACAACTATCCCGCTGACAGCTGTTTCCTTCCCCAGGAGCAAGGCCATTGTGGGGCAGAGGCAGTGAGCACTATCCAAGCAATACCGTTTTCTACCTGTGATAAGTGCATCTTTACAAGCAAAACCTGCCCTTGCTCAAGGAGAAAACTGCTTATGCAATAACATCCCATGACCAATTTGGGGGAGGGACAGAGAAGAATAAGTTATTCGATTGTGAAATGTTCCCTCTTGATTTCCAAAAAAAGCAGCGCTTTCCCTCCAAACACAAAGCCAACACAACTGTTTCTCTACTGAGGTCAACAGACCTACTCACCACTCTTCTCTTGCAAAGTAATAACCTTGTTGTTCTTTTTTATCCGTTTCCCTTACCTTATTGGTAAAATCGACTGCAGATTCCTTTCATTTCTTTACTACGTTGACCTAGTGCCTCCCAACAGCAGCAGCCCAGGAGGCTGGCTGCCGAGGAGGCACAGCCAGCCCCAAAGCTCCAGAGCACCCAGCATCAGCTTTCCTGCCTACACCACCTTATCCCACCAGCCCATGGTTAATGCAGCTGGGATGAGTCTGCATGCTGCTGTGGTCCTGAGAAGTGAGCTTTGCCTCTCCTATCATCAGCTTTTTTGTTTCTCCCCCCTTCTCCCCTTTGCTCGATGAGGATTATCTTTTGCAGTGGCACCAGCCCATGGGATAATGCCAAAGTCCTTGTGACAGTACTTGCTGCAGAGCTCCCCATCTCCCACATCAGCACTTTTCTTCCTGCAGAAAGGAGGTACCGTAGCACTCGCTGCACAAGAGCCGGGAAAACAGCTTGTCCCAACGCATTAGCATGAGAGATGATGTTGAGGCTGCTGCTACCCATTTTGTGTGGCTTATTAACAGAGGATTTTAAAAACACTGCTTCTGGCTGCAGAATCACCCAGGCTGGCCCATCTCCAAAGCCCTGTTGGCCTTGCTGTGTGTTCAGGTGGGATGTCCCAGACCATCTACTGCCCGAAGCTGATACCATCACACTGTCTGCCGTGGCCCAAGGGGCAATGAGCCACCTGTAGGAAGGAGTCACTCCAGCTCCTGGGTACCCGGGCTGGGCAGCAGGCATCTCCACACCTTTTCTGTACAGCCACCAGTCAAACTTTTTTCCAACATGGGTAGTCACTTAAAGCTCAGGTCCTCACACAGAGATGTCAAAGGGTCACAAAAGGAACCTGCTTCTGCCAAATTCTGTGCAAACAGTGTCCTGGAAAGTCACAGAGCCACCCTGGCTCGACCATGAAGGCAAAGCTGCTTCCCAGAGGAACCCAAGACTTTGAAAGCTAAACTGGGTATTGAGAGCATAGGAGGCATAGTCATAGGTGGCCGGCAGGTCGACGGGGGTGATTCTGCCCCTCTACTCCGCTCTGGTGAGATTCCACCCGGAGTACTGCCTCCAGCTCTGGAGTCCTCGGTACAGGAAAGACATGGACCTGCTGGAGCAGGTACAGAGGAGGTGACAAAAATGCTCAGGGGGATGGAACACCTCTGCTGTGGAGAAAGGCTGAGAGAGTTGGGGTTGTTCAGCCTGGAGAAGAGAAGGCTCTGGGGAGACCTTATTGCAGCCTGTCAGTACTTAAAGGGGGCCTATAAGAAAGATGGGGACAGACTTTTTAGCAGGGCCTGTAGCGATAGGGCAAGGGGCAATGGTTTTAAACTAAAAGAGGTAGATATAGATTAGATATAAGGAAGAAGTGTTTTACTCTGAGGGCGGTGAAGCACTGGCCCAGGTTGCCCCGAGAGGTGGTGGATGCCCCATCCCTGGAAACATTCAAGGTCAGGCTGGACGGGGCTCTGAGCGACCCGATCTAGTAGGGGATGTCCCTGCCCATGGCAGGGGGGTTGGACTAGATGACCTTTAGAGGTCCGTTCCAACCCAAACTATTCCATGATTCTATGATTACCTCTCACAGACAATTACACTTCATTTGCTGCTGCAATTGCAAAGTTCAAACTGGAGTCAAGGTTTAAAAGCCTTGACTTGGGGATGCTAGGATCAGAGCCAAGACTAAAACCTTAGACAAGACCTTTTTTCTCTGCTCCATCATAAAGTGAGGTAGGTGGGAGATGATTACCCAGACATAGCTACAGATGTGCCCACCAAGCTCCTATAACCTTCCTCACCTGATAGTCAAGGTCACAGGCTCAGGGGATCCATTCACACTGAACCTGAATTCTTCTGTGAACTGCCCCAGGATGGTGGAACTGAAGGAGATCTGGATGACTTGGAGCCCGTCCGGCAAGATGATGCCCTCCCGGGGGAGAAAGGTGAAGCAGGAGCCCAGAGCTGTAACTGGAGGGACCAAGTTGAAGAGAGCATCAATGGCTCCTTTGTTAAACAGGATCACCTGCAGCAGCAAGAAAGCGAAATGGAAATACATAAGGAATCTTCCTTTCTTACAGAAGGCCGATTTGTTTTCTGATTAAACAATTAACATCTGTAAAGTTTCTGATTGCTGCAGGGTGAAATCCTGCCATTTCCATGGACTTCCCTATCTGCTTTGGATGCCTTTTCCCTAATTTTTGACCTCGCAAAACCTGTCAGAAAAACCTGAGACAGAAGCATAGATGTGTCCCTTATTTTTTTAATTTCGCAGCTGTCATTGAAAATATTCATGTATTCAAATTCCACAATGGTAACTTGAAAACTACTCTCTCCTCTCACGTGTTTTACACCTTAGTTACAAATTGCACTTAGGGATCCTATGCTGAGCTGAGGTTTACCTCCAGTCTAGCTGCTTAGGACAGCATTAACAGCATCATCTACTTATTCACATTTTCTCAAGTAATGAAAATAAGAAACTGATATAGCGAGAATCAATGAAGTATCAGCATTAAAAATGCAGAGAGAGCACAATATTTTGGTAAGAAAACACCTTAAGGTGTCCTTCCCTGCCACAGTCAGGCTTTTGAAAGTGTCTGGCATGATGTATTGCCTCATTTTCTACCTCTTTCACTTGCTCTATCTTATTTTTTTGCAGGAGACTTGACACCATTTGGGCGGAGGCAAATATATAGAAAGTTCCTTTGCTTCATTTCAAGAAACGCTTTGCTCTTTATAGAGGCAGGGATGTGCCAAGTCTGAAGGTGTGGCGAGAGACCGGTCGGCAAGGGGAAGCACTCCCAATTTCTTTGCCAGGGACAGCTCTGGGCCAGGAGGCTGGACAGCTTTCCTCCGACTCCCGGGAATCGCTAGGATGCACTTAACTGAAAACTGTTTGCAATGGACTTGAGTTCAAACACAGTAGATTTGTTCCAGCTGCTTTTTAACACCCAGAGTACAAAGCTGCATTGCATCTAGGGCTGAAACAAAAGCCTCTGAAAACTTAACTTTTCGACCCATTGTTGCCTTCATGTGTCAAGGGGTTTGGTTTTTTGCATGAAGCCTCCCAGCTGATCTCAAGGGGAGGTTGCCAAAAAGCAGGGATTAGGGCTTCACAAACAACATATACACCTTTCAGACCCCATCAAAAGTATCAAGGTTCTGCGAAACCCCCCCAAATTTGACTATGTCAAATACTCCCTGCTCACAACTCCCTGAGTTGCCAGAAATCCCACAGGTCCACGAGGCTCACTGCTGCCCCGGGAGCCATCAGGATCCACCCCAACCCCTGAGAACCCTCTACTGCTCACCTCATAGCTGTGGGCTGATCCAACAAAAACCTTCCCGATGTCCAGCTGGTCAAAGCTGAAGCAGAGCCGGGGCCCTATGCCTTCCCCTTTGATGCGCAGGGGCAGCCTCGTTTCTCGGCCTGGGGAGAGATTTCCATTTCAGTACAATAATTCCCTCTGTTGCCTTGGATTTTCCAGGCTGCCTCAATGCTAGTCCCTGACTCTGGGCTGGATGCGACCAGCTCTAGATGCTCCAGGAGAAGATACGGGACCCTTCTCTTCCCTCAGGAGACATGCCCTTGGGCTGGTTTCTAATTTTTAACCAACCCCTTGGGCTGGTTTCTAATTCAGCAATCAGTTTGCACCCTTAAAGAGCGATGCTGAGTTTAAAACACGACCTCTAAATTTCTTCCCATGCACTTAGATGAGCTTTGAAATCCATTCAGTGAAGGCACAAAGCTCACAAAAGAGAGCTGAAGATAAAAATCCGCTGTCTGTACCGATGCAAATCGGAGACGACAGCACAGGAGCCGAGAAGTACGAGCCCAAGGGAGGCGAAGCTCCCTGCTAACGGCGATAGGCACATCCGAGTGCTGCCTAGGGCAGGCAGAGCACCTCAGCCGCCGCCTGTGCCTAACATACAGCTCCGTACCTGGGTGCTCCAGGGCTCACCTCCTGCAGCAGCGCCTAAGTCACACAGGGCTTTATGATCTCCAGAGAGAAGCACTCGCCTATTCCCACCATGACACCAAGAGCTCAGCTTTGTAAAGACACCTTACCTGAAGCACGCCGAGCAGTTATGGAAAACCAGCCTCCTCACTACTATCAGATAAGCCATAAATATACTGCTAATACACACATCCCTTGCTGCAAAGGTAATTGAGATCGCAAGGCTTATAGCTAAACTCCAAGATGCTAATTTTCTTCTATAAGTCTGCTAAGATGACATAGTGCAGGACCTTTCGGTCTGAAGGCTGTTCTGAACCACTGGAGCAGCCCAAAGTGCCCGAATCCTAGCTTGAATTTCGGCTTGGGTCTCCCTGCCCTCCCATTCTACTCCGCATGGAAAGCGAGTAGCACAAGGAGGAAAAGAGAGCCCCAGCAGTTGTATATAACCTTCACTGTAGCTTTTGTGCAAAAATATTCCTCTTTCCTTCAAGCTGCTTTTGTGTAACGCTCGCTATTTATTAAAGATTAGGGATTGAAGGTTGCTTTTAAAAAATTGTCTTCCACATAGTTATTCCAGAATGTCCAAAATGACTTTTTATTGCAAAGAGCAGCCCAGGTGTGACAACACAGTGACTAGATCACAACTTGAAAACACTCTCCTGGAACAGCCTTTTCGATAATTACTGACTTTTTGATCTTGCAACCATGGGATGAGGATGTTTGATAATGTCCAAAGCCAGAAAGGAAAAGCTAGGGGGCTTTTGTTGAATTCAACATTTTTTAAGTGGATCCAGCCAAAGCCCAGCTGATAGCAGAGATGAGAGTTATGTTTCACAGCTCACACATTAATTGGAGGGCTGTGTATTTCTATTTCACAGATATCATAAAAGAGGCAGTATTGGGTGCTCACTGTCAAAAGTTTTCTCCATCTTGCATCACATGTGGCTTCATTTTCATTAAAAACTGTAGGCCTAAGCCATCAAAGCTCTTAGGAAATGGCAAAGACTTCCAAGTGACAAGCTTTTGTCCATGATCATGCTGAGACACATCCCATGGCCACTGTGATCAAAAAAAAAATCAGTGGCAGTTCTTCCCTTCCTCATCCTCTCCTGAAGGTCCATGGAAACCATCCTTTCCCCTACATTGAACTTGAAACTTTAGGAAATCCCAGAAATTTTGCTCTTCCTCCTTGCTGGTGAACCTCAGAGTGAGTTCTTCCCAAAGGAGAAGGAGCAGACTAAACTACAGGCAGCATTCAGGAGAGCTGAGAGGGAAAAAAAACCAAAACCAAAAGAGTATGTCCTCATCTTTGCTGGAGCTGGGGCTTTCAGGAGCACCCAGCCTTTGCCCAAGGCCTGGGCACAGCTGGGCTGTGGCCCTGTGATGCTCCCACCATAACGCGTCCTGGAGCACACAGACCAAGGGCGTGGAGGGGCTACAGCCTCCTTTGTCCTCAATCCCAAATCCACACCTGGTACCGTAGAGCAAGAATTTGGATCTCAGTAGAAATAATACCTTGGCACGTCACGCAGGGTGTACAATTTGGCATTGCTGCCTTGTTTTCAAACAAACAGGGGTGTAGGTGGCCCAACAGCACAGGACTTTGACGCCAAAGTCCTTAACTTCTGTTGCTTTCTGACACTCAGTTTCTTGTTCACAGAATGTCCCCGTGTTTTGTGACTGGTTTTGAATGTGATTCTCACCTGACCACGTCAATAAACAGTTTTACACGATGCAGGACAGTTCTGTCACAAGGTAAGGGAGTGATCATCATTTGGGATTTTGCTTCTTCCTGCAAGAGTGGCTTAGAAAGGGGTTTTGCAAGGTGTAACCCCATACAGTTCTGTGTGCAGACAAACCTCAAAATGAATTTTAGGTGTCTGAGGCCCCACCGTGTGCTCCCTTCCAGCACTCAAGAGCCAGGGCTTTATTTGCATGAATAGCTAAGAAAGCTCATTTTGAGCTTAAATATTTGCCAAGAGCAAATTTCAAACCACTTCTTAACTGCCAGCTTTGCAAGTCGCCCAGTGCTGATGAGTTCTGTAAATCACCTGATCCAGAAGCATCTGCTAAGCACCTGCAAAAAAAAAAAAAGTGGAGGCCAGCAAAGGCCCTTTCCAGTGGGGCATGAGATCCAGCTGCACAATTCACAGTGCTGCACTGGGGCAAAGCTTCCAAATATTCCCAGCAAGGAGCAGACACCATCTGCAAACCGTCCTCCAAAGGGATTTGTGGCTGGCATGCAAACGCACGAGGAAGGCAGTCACGCTTCTCAGAGGAATCAAGAAGTAAAATTAATTGACTCCCTAGTTAAAGATCACTGTTTTCTTCTTTAAACTCTTTTCGCGCCCAGGGACCTTGACTCTGGGACAGTTTCCACCCTGACAATACAGTGGATCAGCTCTGTTTTGTAAAGGATGGGGAGTAGGTGCATAATTTAAATTATCTCCTTGAGGTCCTCTTCCAAGGAGCCAGTGGAAGAGTTAAGTTCTCCCGAAGGCCCGTCATGGTCTTTTGAGTGCAGGCTCCTCTTTCTAAACACAGATCATTTGCCCAGCTCTGTTTCCTAAAGCTCCCAGACTGGCTCAAGGGTTGCATGCAAGTAGTTCTCCTATTTCTCTGCAATGAAAAAGCTCTCCTGGCACAACCCCCTGGAGGTCCCCGCAGCAAAGTGATGGACACCCCAATCACCAGAGCGAGAGTCCCCGAGCCAGGAGCACGGCACTGAGCAAGGAATCCCTTGGGAGCAACTTTTTAAATCATTCCTTTCCTTCCACAGCTCTAACAACTACAGCTGGTGGGCAGGAAGACAGTTTGTTAACACAAGCCCTGTGTAATTACTGTAGGTGGCATTTGCCAAGTAAACCCTGTGCAATTACTGTATAAATAAAAAGCTGTTTCATGACATTTGTATCTGTCAGCTTGGAGCGGTAAGGAAAGCAACAAAGCAGCTGGGTTAGTGATTTCAGCACCCTCCAGAACAGGAGCCTGGCTGCTGGAGGACCACGGGTCTTGCACCTCTTCCTCTTAGATGGGGAAAACCATAACGTTCCCTGGATGGAAATCTGACAGCTATCTCCCACTGTTGGAAAACACCTTAAGCAGCACCACGCAGAGACACAGAGGAAGGACAAGGTAACCCAAACCACGCAGCTTGCTGCAAGTATTCCCTGCCCTGTGCTAGCACAGCAAAGCCATCACCTCTGTAAGGGCAAAGATGGTGTATAACTTGGGTGGCTCAACGATAACCGCTCCCAGAAAAAGACTTGACAGCACTTCTGTAAGACAGGGTGAGCATAAAGCTTGTCTAGCAGACTGCTCCGAGTCTGATTTCCAGGGAGGGTGTTCACCCTGCTGAGTACAGCAAGCCCTCTGCAACGCTACCTGTACGCACCATAGACTAGGAGCCCCAAGCTGACAATTCCCATGCAGGGAGAAAAGCACGTGTTGGCCAGAGGTGGTCCTTTCGCAGACACCCCGCGCTCAGGAGGGCTCAGCCACCTAAGGTCTGGCAGCGTCTGGGTAGCGGGAGGTGATCCAGGGTCTGGGAGCACATTTGGAACTCTACTCGTACCACCCCAGGAATCTGATGATGCAACCACGTAATAAAGACTCACCTTGGAGGTAAACGGTCTTACAGGGGCTTAGTGCTTGTCCACTAAAGCTGTTCTGCTGTGTGGCTCTTTGGCCTTCACAGACACCTCGCAGCAGAGCAAATACTGGCAAACCCATGACCTGAAAGCTTATCCCTTCACTGCCTTGGTTGTTCTGGGATCAGTGATCCAAGCTTGTAGCCAGGCATCCTGAGGGCTGGCCTTGGACAGGAGACCGCCTGGAAACCGCAGGGACAGCAGACATGTGCCAGCACCGCCCTGCTGACCACTGACCCTTCCTAGCAATCACATGAGAAGCGAGTGGGCTGGTTCCGTTTGTGCCTCACCTTCACCGTGGGTAACAGAAGCAGGAGAAAGGCGCTGTACCTGAGATATCGCAGTAGACCGTTTGTTGATAGACTCTGGCTTCTCGGGGTTTAAAGATCACATTAATTTCAGCCGAAGAATTTGGCCAGACATCTCCCTCCTAAAACAGAAGCAGACAGCAAACCATTTATCTTCAAACATTACATTCCTTGTTTTCAACCACAGCCCTGTAGCCTATATTTAGAGCATCAATGAAGAGCAAGGAGCAAGTAACACTTATCAACAAAATTTATAAGAGTTTGGAAGCAGCTGCAAAAAAACCTTACCTTTACTGGCACCTGGTAGAGGCCTTTTGTTAAATTAGGGCTATAACGAAGCAACCAAACTGGCTCACACTCCAGCAAATCAAGCAGGATTTCTTCAGAGGTACCAGTCAGTCTAAGGAAAAGGTACCTCTCTTCTGCAAACCTTCCTGTACATCCCTGTATCACTATGGCTACGTGAACACTTCTGCTCAGATCAGAAGAGATTTAGAAAATCAAATGGATTTTTGCATTCTTAGTTACAAAGGTGCTGCCTCTTATACCCTTCACCTGTACGTGTATTTAAGTATATAATGTACTCCAGCGAGTCAGAACACTCGGCACCTAGCAGAACAAGCCCTCCTGCCTGGGGATCGATGAAGAACAGACTCCTTGTTGATGGCTGCTTCTGCCCCGCGCCGTGAGCAGTCAGCCAGCACGCAGGTTACAAAAGATCCGAGAATGAAATTGAGAGTTAGGTGTGTCCTGTTTATCTCTGCAAGGTGCACACACTCCTGTTTCCCTGAACACAGGCTCAAACAAGAGATGCGATTTGCTTACAGCTTCATACCTCTTTCAGCCAAAAATCAAGTAAAATAGCTCTTCTCCTTGTCATGCTCAGAGATTTAAGTCTGGGCCATGCTACCAGTGCTTCTGCAACTGTCTGCTGCTTCCTTGGGGTCTTCTCTCCCAAAGAGTCCTGGCACTGGCGCTCAGTCCCAGGGAGGCCTGTCGCTCATTTTTGGAGGCATCCCTCATTTGTAAAGGCTCTCACTCACTTCTTGCAACTGGTTTAAACAAAGGCACCACTTACATCCCCTCAACCCCTACCATTACAAATGTCTCTTCGTGCATTTGTTGACAGAAATATATGCAGGTCTGACAACTGCAATAAGAGTCTACAAGGAACGAAAAATTTAGCTTCTAGAAGGAGAAGAAAAGAACAGAGTTATTTTTCTATCAACAAAGTGAGGCTTTGATTCTGCTTGCTGCTGGATATCCTCAGTACTTTGTCCAGAAGAGTCTTCAACTGACTAGAGCCTCCGGCACTCCTGCAGCATAAATATTAAATCACTATAATGCTTCCCATCGACTCAGCGCTTATAGCTCAAAGGACAGTCCCCGCAAAAATTAAAGAGCTGTGACATGGTGAGTTATTGGGCTGCAGCTGCAAATAATTCTCTAATGCACAGTCTGCTCAGAGTCAACAGAACAGAGGGAAGAACAGGCGGAGAAAATTGTTTTGAACACCAACAAACCATCACCACCACAGTAATAAGAAAAGGGAAGTCTGAAAAGCATAAAGTCACTTGGATTCCTCTCAAAACCTAGAGCAAACACATTTGCCAGATCAAATGTACTTCGTGTTTCTGTCCAGCAAGCACCTGGATGAAGATGAAGCCTTATTGTATGACAACATACTTGCTTGAGGAAGCAAACTGGGGACATCAGCCTGCAACCCACAGTCAGCGTGCAGATATCAGAGCCTTTGGGTCCCATAGGGATGCTGCATGGGCTGAGCATCTACAGGGTTATCTCGGATTTGCAGGAATAAAAGCATTCGGGGTGGTCTGAACAACAGCAGCTCTGCTATGACGCCTGGAGCTTGCCTAAGCCGAGCCACTGAGAAAAAAAACACTCGGATGATAGATTTCCCTGGCTTGGCTAATTAGAGTCTAACAACTCACCAGTGCTCATCACCCAGCTGCTCGCTGTGTGTTTAACAGACTGAATTCAGTGGTCTCACCCTGGGCAGACCATCCCTGGGGCGGGGGGGGATGCACCAGGCAGCTGCTTACATTTGCTTCAAGCCCAACGGCTGTAGCTGAACACACATCTCAGCTCAGCGGTGTTCTGCGCTTCTCCTTAAAGGGTGCTGCATGGGATGAGATGCCCAGCGGTACCGTTTCATCTGCCAGCTGCTGTGATCCTCTGCCCAGAGAGCCGCAGAGACCCCTCGTTCAGTTCCCGCACGGCAAACGGTGCCTTGCCAACCTTACCAGCACCATCAGCTACGCAAACACTCGCTGCTACTATGCTGAGTGGTGGCGATGCTTGAGGTCTTCATCTTATAGCGGGGCATAAAGCAGCAGAAGCCTTAAAACCAAAACACAGGGGTGCAGTAAAAGGGAGGGGAGTTCAGCAACAAGTGGGAGTGAAAAGAGCCCAATTTCAGAACGGCCGCCCAGATGACTCCAAGGGAAAGTCTCCATTTGCTCCATAGAGCCCCACGTGCCAGACAGCAAACAGGGGAGAAGGTATTTGAACGAGACAGGACAGGACCATCGAGGCTGAGGGTGAAAACTGATGCCAGGATTTGACCGTAGTTCTGCAATCAGGCTTACGAGGGCTGTGCACAGCCGGATTACCAGGGGCACGCAGCTTAGAGTTTGTGCGGGCCGTCAGACAGATGATACCTACCATAAACTGAGCATCCGATTTGCTGGGACTGTGCGATTCCTTGCAAAACTTTGGGATCTATCCGAAAAAGCAGAGTGAGATTTTCATACCATGTCGTCATTCAATACATCACTGGCTGCTCTAAAGCGGAGTTCGTACGACCAAGAATGAGGTCTCATAGAGCCAAATCATTCCTGGGAAACTCAGAGAGCATCCCTCCTGCCACCGAGGCCAGAAAACAAACTCCTTTGAGCCTAGTGCAGCAGTATCAGTCTTTCAGGTCAGCTGTTTAACAAAGCGCTGTTTTGCTGCTCGCTTCTGCTGGATCACAGGCTGATGGCACTCACCGGTCTACTTTATGTGCCGCAATCAGATATATTGGCCCTGTGGACACTTCGGGACGGTTTGGTTATTACTCAGAGGCTGACAGAGGCAATGCATCTCCCGTTAATGGAAGCAAGTGTAATACAATTCATAAGCAAAAACGAAGCTAAGCAGGAAAGGAAGAAAGTTAAAGAGAACCATTGGCCTGATGAATATGTATCTGCTAACAACAATGCACTTTTCTAGCTGAGCGAGTTTAGCTGACTTTGGGATTCGATGAACTCCAAGGCCAGCACATCTGTGACAGACATCTAACCGACATGGTGATCTTACCGGCCTGTTTTGGAGCACAGTAACAGCAATATATCCCGGAGGCAGGGATAGGGACAGACTTGACAGGGCAGGGAACCTAGGAAGGCGGTGCAGAGCCAGAAGGCTGGGACAAGAGGGGGAAATGGTTCAGAAACAGCACACGTGCTTGATGCTCACGACAGCTCTGTCTTGCTACGAGCTGTACCCAAATCAGCTGTTCTGATCTGGTCACTGCCAGTTGAGCTTTGGGTGAACAGAACTAGGATGGCAAACTTACCTGTTCCCCCACTGAGCTCTGGCAGCCAGACAGACTGATGCTCTGCATGCCTGAGCCCCTAACGTGACTTGCACAGCAACGATCCCGACTGCAGCGGTGAATACGCACAGGGAGACATTGTGACTACAGCAGGGAGGAGGTAACAGAAAGAGAATTTCAAAAAGAAAATATTTCAGTAAATTCCACTTCCCCATTCTACAGCACACAGAAACTGAGGCACAACAAGGCTTTCAGCCACAGCAGAGTCCACGCAGGCTACTGCGGTACTTCCAATGCTCCTCTCAGGGCAGGGAAAACCTTCCAGGAGCTCCTCTGGCAGGGCAGCACCGTTAGCCCCAGTTTCTCCAAGGAAGTCCCAACATACAGAGGGAATAAGGGTTGAATCTTCAGGGCCTGAATGCCCTCAACTGTTCAAGAGAGATGTGGGAGTATTCACACTATATAAACTTCATATATCTAACTTGGATCATCTACAGGGAGCCTCAGGCTACAAAGCCTACATCCCCTTGAATGCAGAAGCTGAGCTGCCCAGGTTCTCCACCAACCCGGGACACCTGAGTTCCGTGTCAAAGGCAGGCAATGAGGATACCCCTCCTCCCCAGAGTAATGTAAAAACCCTTGATAGTCCTCACACCACACCAGTGGTGTCCTAGCCCCAGGAGTGCATGGCTACGTGCTATCTCATAGTCCAGAGAGCAGCCTCTGTACATGCCCTGGGCTCTCTGCAGACACTGAACTCGATACCAAGAGCTGCCCCTTGGAAGAATCCCTTCTGGTCTTTGCGGCTTTGGATTAACCTGGTTTGGGATAAGAATGCCCCCACTTATCCTGTTCTCAGGGGACACTACCTCTTGCCATGAAACTGCCTCGTGCAATATCAAGTCTGCTTCAACATCCTTTCTCTCTCTCCACCATGGGACCTGTCCCCACTCACCTCTTGTCCCCATGTAACCCCTGCCCCCAGTAGCCCATACGCATCTGTAATAGGCACCAGGTAGCTGGACCCTGGCAGAGCCAGCAGCAATACCCTGTCTCCCGACGGGTGCCAGGGCTTGCACCCAGCAGGATGTCTCAGATCAGCTCCTGGAGAGAAAACCGTGCCTGCCTTCATCTTTGCAGGAAAAATCTGGAAACTAGCTCACAAATGAAGGCAAGGCCCCGTCAGAGAGCTGGCTACCCCAGCCGGGACTCACTGTCCAAGGCTCCTTCTGCCCTCTGCTTACAGACAAGTGGGCAGAGAATGCAGGAGAGCAATATCAGGGCTTTGCAATCTGCTCTGGCTGCCTGCTGGTCTCAACGTGGGATATGAGACATTGCTGATGACACAGAAAACCCTAGTTGTCCTGGCCTCCTCCCATTCCTGCACCACTCTTGCTGTCAGAAGGGGAACCGGAGCTGGGTCAGTGCCTGCATGGCATTTGTAAGGCGCTAGAATTTGATCCTGGCCCAAGACAAGCCAAACTGAACATCAAAACGGTAAACTTCCACTGCACCAAAAAAATACAGCTTCAGCAAGAACCTGGGAGAACACCGCAAGTGTACATCTCCAAACAACGAGGGAGTAGAAATGAGTCCCTGCAGGCATTACTCAGAGTGGCTGGGTCCCTGGTGGGATGATTTGCTCAATACCGCCGAGATCACAGTGATTGCTGCAATGTTGCTGGGGTCTCTCTGTATACTGTACAATTAACCAGTGCGGGAGGGAGCCTGGAGCTTTGGGCCGATGTCATTTCTTCTTTTACAACCTAAAGAGATGAGGGTGCAGCACACAAACCCCCCTTGCCGGAGACTGATGTCTTGCCATGCTCCAGGAAACCACTCAGTGATGCACCAAGACCCTGACAAGGGACATATCTCCCTACATGTGAGGAGCTGCTGGATCCCAAGGCACCGTCAGATGAGACTCCTCTAAGGCACCAGAGGAAACAAGCCTACGGACTAGCAATAAAACCCATCCTTTTATAAGCATCAGCACAGCTCTCTAGAACAATCCTAATGCGGCATTATTACTGGAGCCTCGCACTCATATCCTCGCTCCCAAGAAAACCTGCACCAGCAGTTAATAGGCTCGGTCTCTTGAGCTCTTGATATGAAATCACCATTCTGCAGGATTCAATGTATTTGGGTGGAAACTTTTGGCAGTACGTCCACAGATAGCTTCCCTGTATTGTCAGCAAAGCTATAAGCCAGACCGTTTGACTCCAAAGGTGGAGGGCAAGAAGAAATAATCTGTTACACTTTATTCTACTATTCCATGACTAAAACAAATTCTGCAAAGACTTAACTATTCTGGGAAGTTTCTGTCATTTCTCCCTTCATTACTGCTGTACAACAGACTATAAAACTAGAAAATATTGTGAGTTATTTCTCCTGGGAAATTAAAATAGGCTGTTGAAGAAGTTCCTCACACTCCTGCTACCCCATGGGGAAAAAAGAACTGCTGGTTAAAAGGATATGCTTCATTACGCACCCTTGCAGGCTACTGCTACATGCGCATGAGCCTCGGGACACCTCTGGAGCCAGAGGTCTGCTTGGGCTAGCATGTTCTCTATAGGACGGCAGTTGAGTCCCAGCATGGAAAACTACTGTGGATGCTAACCAGGACAGAAATAAAGCTATGCAGCGCTGTGAACATAATATTGCAACACTTCTGGCTTAACGACAGCCTCAGACAGGCTGCAACTGGCCGGTGGCATGAAATATAGACGGTGGATGTATGATGGTGCAGCACAAAAACTCCAGCTGTTGTACCCTGGCTTTGCTACAGCATAGAGCAACATGACATGGGAGGGGATAGCACACCATGACTCGCAGCTACAGAAGTGATCTCTATGCAAGAGCCCAGCCGTAAAGACTTGCAGATCCTATTTTCCGCTCCCTCAGCCACTAAATAGTGAGAATCTGCTAGATCTCCACCGGCCTGAATAAGAAAACGCCGGTCTTGAAAAGCTGGGCACCACCAACTGTTGGCCAAATCCCCTACTTTGTTTTGCAGAGGGGGAAGGCGAACCATGGAAAGGAAATCACTGCTCAAAGCAGACAGAAAACCAAAGACAGAGCTGCCAACAGAAGTACCGAAATGACACCCAAAGTGCATCCTGCTAGTTCAGGGCACTTAGGAGAAAGGCAGTGCCAAAGCTAACATCTGCCTTTTTCCATAAATAACTGAACCCACAGCGAGCTGCGAGACGGACCGTAGCTCCCACTGGAGGTGGTGCCTTCTGCCAAAACCTGAAGCGCTCTGTAGTAACTTCTCATTTGGATGGGGACCAGCTTGGTTCCCCAGCTGAGGTGGAGATTCGCAGGAACAAACAACACTGTTACCTCCTGGCCCAGCCTCTAGATCAACAACAGTAGCTGCTTCATAACCTGGACATCCTGAAGACCACCTCCATCAGCTCAGAGTTAACACATGACACCGAGGAGTCACTATCAGGCAATAACAGGACAGTGATGACTTGTCAAGGTCAGTGCAATGGTAACAAATCCTTGTCCTCCCTTTCCTCTGGTTTCCATTTCCAAGGAGTCAGCTCCCACGTGTCTGCAATGTGACTTACAGCTAAGCTGTGGTGGGGAGGATGCAGCAAAAAGCAAGGACTTTGTCCTTTGGTAGCCACCTGGGCTTCTATCACAGCTGCTTCTGCTGACATATCATGTGTATTTGCAAAAATAAATTAAACCAAATTTGAGATGCGCTCGGAAAGTCAGAGTTGCATAACAGCTTGTTTCCCACAGGCTTGGATGGCTGCTCAAAATGTTCATGGTCACATGGTAATTCCAAAATCACTGCCTCCTCTTTTTTGTTATTATTTTCACCAGCGAGTTAACCCTACGCAGACTGAAGTGACCTGCTGCAGCTTCTACAGGCAGCAACATCTGAAAATACCGGCAGCTAACGGTCCACTGACACAGCAAAGCCTCTGCACAAACCCTGCAAAGCCACCCTGCCCAGAAAGCGTTTCCAAGACTACTATACCTCCATCAGCTTCCTGACCTCTGGAAGCAATTGCTTCCTCCAGTCACAAGGGTTTGAATATTTCTGTAGGGTGCTCTCGAACATCACGGGTGATAGGTAGGAAGACAGCAGCCACTTTTGGCCCGAAGGTCTGTGAAGGAGCAAGGTCCCAGCTTTGGGGTCCTCTCCAGCAGATTTACAAGGCAGCGCAAGAAGGGTCTCTGTCACAGCTAAAGGTTACGGGGCCATCACCAGAAAGAAGGATATGAAAGTCAGTGGCAGTGGATTTTTAGATTATACATTTCATAAAGAGGAGAAAATACTTACTATCGTTTGAGGTAGAGACACCCATATGTCGGGGGAGAAGACAGACGAGCAAAACTCTGAACGTGAAACTGATTGATCCATAAATAACAGAAATAATGGAAATGAAAAGATTGATAATGCTGGCCAAGACAGAAGGGGAGAGACTCGTGTAGTAGCCCACTTACATTCAGTCCTGGAGCAAACAGTGGAACGTTAACATAGCCGTTTAGGAAAGGTTTCCACTCAAGACTTGAGGCCAGGCTACACTTCATGTCTGTACATCATTACATGGAGTACCAGGACTCAGCACTGTGGGCAGCCAGAGTTCTGGACCTCACCTTAATGCACTTCAGGAGCTCAAGGGCGGGTTAAGCTTAGTTGTGGAGACATAGTCCGGCCGTAACGAAGCAGGGGCCCTGGCACACACTCCAAACTCAGCTCTAATGCACCGCAGGATGCTCTTAATGCTCAGCTGATCAGCTCCCACTCTCTACAATATTCCTACTGCTCTGACACAATCTCTTGGTCACACCATGCTGCTGTCAGGTACAGTGGTGTGAAACTGCAGTTGTGCTGACAGTGGTGGCTCTCAGCCTTACATGGGCTATAGGAGTAACCAAGAAGAGAACATGATCCCCTTCCTTGGGGAAAAAAAAAGAAATTACTAGTTTCACCTATTTTACAAAAAAGAAGAGACTGGGCTTATTCTAGGGTTTACTTGAAGATGAGAAGGGATTTTGCACTGCTCAGACAGCAGGCATTCTTTGTCTCAGAATCAGAGCTCTGGTTGATTGAAGGACATGGGGTTTTGCTTGTGTAACCAGAAAAGCAAAAAAATTCCTGTATCTATGTGCAATACAACTCAAAAAGCCCATTTAAACCTGCCAGTCTTGTGTCCAGGCTGACAGGTGACACTGGAAGGGAGATTCAGATGTGGTATAAGTCCAGGTTATACGAAGAGATTGGTATTTCCATGATTAAACTTGGGCTGAATTTGGCCTCCTTTCCACAGAGCACCATTTCATTCTTCGAGTCAATATGTGAACTGACAGTGCTCCAATATCCTTTGTTAACCCCCCCACAGTATGTGTAAGCTGTGCCCTTACATATAATAATCGACACCTCTGAACACTGTAAGGACACTTATTTATAGCCCTTGCAGTAGCTCAGCTTTAGGCAGGCTCTCGCTGCCTGTCAGGAGCCTGCAGTTCAGCAATGCTTTTTGCAACAAGCTCTCTCAGCCTCACTAGAAAGCTGATGTTTTCTCTCTTCACACATCAAGCCAGCTGCCGCCGGGATCTGCCAAGTGACCTCAATTCAGGAAGGAAGAGGAGGAGGAGGAGGTGGTTCTCAGCTATCACTTACCACAGGCTCAATGGTGAAGATATCATCAGAGAAAAGCATGGAGTCTCCTTGCACCTTTGCCCTCTGGTTCTGGAAGGTGCGGGAGAGAAGGGAAAGGCGTTCTCGGAGAGTGGGGTCCACCGTGCACTCCTTGAGAAAATAATCCGTCTCGTCCTCTTCCTGCCTCTGCAGCCTGCGACACAGCCTGCAGCCATGGGGAGAGACAAACCAAGCAGATAATTTAATATGGAACATATTTGCAGAGACTGTTGTTTAAGTGCAGGGGCAGCAGCGCGCTCGGGGAGGAACAGCAGCAGCAGCAGCTCGGCAAGGGGCTGACCCCGAGCCAAGGGGTCCCAGATAGATCAGATTATCACTTGTTCACTGGCATGGCAGGTAGTTTTACTCCATGCTTATAAGCTAAGAAGAGGTTTTCTGAAAGCTAGCGGCCCCTCAAGAGAGCGACCTGGCTCAAAGCCGTCGCCACAATTGATGGAGACCCCACCAACCACCTCAACTGGCTTTTCCTACCATAGAGCTGCTTGTGGAAGGCAGTTAAAGATCAAGGAGCACCCACTGTGGTGCTTCACTGGGAAGGGGAGAAGAAGCTGGGTTTCAGCTGCAGGTTACTAGCATCACTCTTTTTTCTTCCCTTTTGGACCTGCAGGGATAAGCAAACAATATCTGCTCTCTGTTCCCTATACTGCCTTCCGCCAGAGGATCCCAGAGCGCTTTAAAAGCAAACTAATGAGTTCAGGCATCACGTCACCTCAGTGAAGTTAATGGGTTTATATGCATGAAAACAGAGGCCCTGAGAGAGGAAGGGACTTTGTCTAGCATCACCCAATAAAGAAGTCAGGACCAGCACCTCTGAATCCAAACCCTTAAGCCTAACCTTGAACCCACCTTATCTTTTTCCTTTTTAGCCTTCTCTGCAGAGCTTTGACACAGTTAATCTCTCCTTTACTTGGTAGTTGTAGCAGAAATCATTCTAGTGTTTAAAGATCACAACCAAGAGACGAGAAGGGAGCACTGCTACAGAGCACTTGCTTCCTAGCTGGCATATTGCTGTCCCCCCTTCACACTCCAGTCCCCTGGCCATGAAGAACCAGCAGGTGACAACTCTGGGGGGATGAGTGGAAGGCTCTATATGCAGCAAACCGAGGCAATGTAGTATTAAACAGGACAGCAACCACCACCCAGCTGAATTCTAATACAGTTAGAAAGGAAATACAGTCATGGACGTTACTAGCTGCACACAGACAGAGCCTCGGGCAAATGCTGTCACCAGCACCAAAAATACTTGCTTTGGCTAGCTCTCCATGGAGCGCAATAGGAAATCTTTCTCCATGGCTGACCTACAATGCTGTGCAGTAGGGGGGCTTCCAGCCACTGAGACGAGCAACCCTCAACTCAACCTCCATCAACAGACAATAATTCCATTACATCCCAGAAAGTCCTGCAGGAGGGAGACAGAGCAAACCCCTGGACAGACCTTCTAACTATTCAGGTCTTTTTGGGTCACATCCCAGTGCAGGGTCCTGCAATTGCCTTCTCCCATGAAAAATTCCTCCCTGCTCCAAGACCTCAGAAGCTTCTCTGACAGCAGGACAGCGGCCTTGGAGCTATAACCATCCCTAAGATTGCAAGTAAGGAAGAACAAAACGTCCTGATCGGTGTCTAGGACACAAACTGGCACAAGATCAAATGTAATTGGAAAAAAATCAGGTTGAAGTCTGCTGTGGGGAAACCTGGTTGCTTCTGAGGGGAAAGAGGCTCACTCAGGGTCCAGTCTGAGACAGGCAGGTGGGAAGAGATGGTAAAGGAATGGTCCAGGGAAGTACCAAGAGAAGGTCATGAGATTTTCTTTTAACACACTGAGCTTGCACAGAAGTCACACACTGTGTAATTAAAAATAGAGAGCGGTGGAAAACTAGTTTTGGCCTTCAAGGCATTTCTGACCTAATTACATTGAACTTTATTTGCTCATAAGCCCTTAAAAAGTGCTCCAGTTTAAGGCAGTTTCCTGATCAGCTATGGGTTCGGACTAACTACTATATACCTACATCCATCCAAGTCTGAAAAGTCATACAAGGATTCCCTAAGTCACCTAAGCTTTTAGGTGTAATTTCCAATTCACCCCCTCTGGGCTCTAAGTGCTGCTGCCTGAAACGGGAATTTCAAAGCTTCACCAAAGACACCCTTTGAAGATCCTGCCCCATCTCTCACCACCATGAAGACACGGGATGCCGAAGCCCAAACGCACCTCCAGGTCCTGTGCTGCCCTACCTTCCCTGCAGAACCCTCCACCTCCAAACTCTCCCCAGCCTCTAAGGAACGGCAGAAATACCTCGTTGTGCTGGAAACCAGGACAGTGCAAGGCAATTCAACACCCTACAGCAGGGTGGCCTCAACTTTCTGGGCCGATGAAGCGCTCTACCCTGCACATTGCTGGAAGAGGAGCCCGCCATCTTATCAAAGCTGGAGTGGAAGAAACTGGAGTGACTACCATAATAGTTACATTACCTGCATTAAGTCCCAGGTGACGAGTGCTGACACTTTCCTCAGCCTCATGGACCCTGTGTAGCCCAGGGATCTCTGGACCTCAGTGGTTTGTGCTCCCACAAAACACGAATTTGCTATCCAGTCATTGCAATCGACCTTTCCTCCCCAGAACATCATCCTCAGCTGGAGTATGGGTGGAACTGGAATGGGAAGTGCTGAGCTCCATTACCCTGAAGCTCAGTGACACATGCCCTGACACTGTGGATGGTTTACTTGTCCTAAAGCATTCAAAAGCACCAAGATCCCTCTGAGGCCATACGTTAGTTTCACTCTTGGACAGTGTATCTTACTGAAATGAATCTTTCAAACAAACCTCAGCTTCTGCTGATCCTCCTCCTCCTGAGTAACAAAAGCCTTCCACTGGTAGTGGGCTATGATTTCACTCCGATTGTGGATGACCACAGATCTGTGGTTGGACAGCGTGAGGTAAGTCTTCTCAACTGTCAAGGAGTTCCTGTCTAGCCTGATGTTGACATCTACAGCTGCTCCATAAAGGCTTGTGTGAATATCTTCACCTGGAACAAAGCAAAGGGGAGTCTTTGCTCAGCTCACTTGCTGATGGAAGTGCAAGGAACAGAGCAAACCACAGGTAACAGAAGAAAGTGTTACAGCTTTTAGCTGTATTAGCAGTTCCACGGATCAGCACATTTATCACACCCCGATAGCTGTGTGTGTACAGCATGAGGATGTCCTGGACATCACCTTAAGCACCTTATTTCTGGGTGTGTTTGTAGAGCTTCATCCCCAAGGTGACAGTATTTACAGTGAGGTTTTTCAGATGTGCCCAGGTGGCCTTTGGGTTGCCATCCCGCTCAGGTCAAAGGGAATTCTGCATCGAAGTCATTCAGGCGACTCTGAGGAGTCCCACCTCAGTCACCGCTTGCCCAGGGTCTCCTGCAGGCACACCACCAGTGTTGTGTCTCTCCTGATCCCTTGCTGCTGACAAGCAAAGATGCCAGGGGGCATGCGGGCAGAAAAGGAAGGTTCAGAGGAACAAGTGAAGTGACAGCCCATGGCAGGATGGGATGCAGAAAAGAACTTCACTGTGTTGTAGAAGCAGTGCCCTCACGTGCTGGGGGGTTGTGAAGACAAGTCAAAATGAGACTGGTGGGGCATGGCCCACCCCAACCTGCCTACTATAGTCCTGCAAGCCCATTTCTTCAGCCTGCATCCTGTTGCCTATGCCTGAGCGTGCAAGTCTACACTGAGTATTCCCAAGCTATTCAACTACCAGAGCGAGGACATCTTTGCTTTCCACCTCAGACCGAGCTGAAGAGGAGAGAGTCCCTGGCTATGCACATCAACTGATTAACGATTGGAGTCTTGCTGGAGTACCTGCCAGCATTGCACCCTCCAGAACAGACTCCCACCAAAGGCTCCCTCATTTCCAGAGCTTTCAAACCTTCATTCTTCCCAACCAAGTAACTCCTGGGAGTCAACTGAGCTCAAACTTCAGTACCAAGCCCACTCTTCCTGTTGTGGGCGAGTGTTTCCCAGGTGAGATGCAAACAGCGAACGTCAGACATGCTCTCTAGAAACGGCGTTTCTATGGAGTGGCGCTTAAAGCCTCAGAGCCAGCCCCAACCGACAAGTGCAGCAACCCGGCCATATCCTGGAGAGCATCCCTCTGTAAAGGCAGAGCCTTCTCCTCACTGCACAGGTTACAGCAAGGCAGCCAGTGGATGGACCTGCCTCTAAAAGGCTACCATGCAACAACACAACTAGAGAGCTGGATGTGTGCTGAATGGACTCCTGAAATCCTAAGCCAGGCAACACAGCAGAATCACATTCGTTCTGGGAAGGGGGCTGGGGAATGAAGGAAGACTCACCCTTAAAACAGTAGATCTCTACAGTCATTCATCCATCTCCACACACGGAGAATTCAGCCTTTATGCCTGTATAACCCTCAATTTCTTTGCTCTTAAGGGAGTCTGGAGGGGTAGGGATTTGTGGCCAGAGATGAGTTAGACTGTGAGAAAAACAGCAATGTTTCCAATGACTGGACAATCTCCTTCTTATAATGGACAATTGAGCATATAAAAATAATTGAAGTTCAGAAGAGTTACAGAGGCGGGTACGCTTTATAAGCATTACCTTTCCCCTCCACTGAATCCTCGGCATACATTGGCAAGCAGAGGAGCCAGGACCCAAGAAATGGGAAACATGCACAGCGCTTCGAGCGTGCACAACTCGGGTTTATGGAAACACGAGCTAATGCTCTACAATGATCAAGGCGACAAACTAGTACAAAATAAACACCATGAAAGCTATCATCATCTCACTGTCAAAACCCATGGCCACGTGGGTCTTAAAATATTGGGTATAGTTCTGATCTCAAAAACCAAGCTGAAGCATTTGAAATTAAACAGAGAAGGGCAGAAAATACAATTAAAAGTATGGAGCAGCTTCTATATGAAGACTGAATAGGATTCCTCAACCTAGTAATCATATGGGAGATAAATGGGAGAGGTTTGTAAAAGCATGAATGGCCTGGGAAATGCAAATAAGGAAAAATTTGTCATGATTTGTCATAAAACAGGAACCCGAGGGCCTGAAATAATGTTATTAGTCAGAAATTACACAAAAGTAATAGTACTTTTCCAGGGAATATTCCTTCCTTTGGAACATGCTGCCACAGGAGGTTGTAGAGGCTGACAGCTATAAATCCAGAGAGCAACTGGACAAATTCTTGGAAGATAAAAACCATCAGAAGCTATTAAACAACAACGAGAATAAAGTCTCCACCACAGAAAACTGCTAACTGCAGAGCCCACGGGGGAGAAAAAGCATATGCACTGCCCGTTTGTACACGCTTTGCTAAACATCCCCTATTGCTGCTCTCCTGGACAGGAGCTGGGGACACAGCCACCCTTATGCTCCTGGCTGCAAGCACCGAGGACTCCTTTGAAGGCTGGAGGGTTTGCCAGAGCACCTTCTACCACAACGAGAAGTATTTGGCATCGTGCTAAATATACAAACCCAGAAATCGCTCAGTACAGTAGAGCATGCACAGATGCCAGCGAGTCAGGAGGAAGCCGCAGATCTGTCTGCCAGGCAGATGAACTGACACGGAGAGCAGAGCTGTCAGGGTTGGCCAAGGGCAGCTGCAGACTTCATGTCTTGGGTGCCAAATTAGATGTGACATTTCATTTAAGACTCTTGGGTTGTTTAATATGTAAGTTTAAAAAGAATAAATCTCTGTGCTGTAACAGCGATGTAGCATTAGGCATTGCTCTTGATGGGCTAATGTCCATGGCGTGTAGTTTGGGGTGCTTTGCTGCCATGAAAGCACGTTTACTGACTTTAGATGTATCTGCCCTATCATTATTTACACAACACGATCTTATTACAGGCTGTCAATTCTCTCATTCGTACATGCTTTTGATACATTTCCTACATATGGCAGGACACAGCTTTCACTCTGCAACCCGAATGAAGCAATGCCTGAACTTGAAATTAAAAGCTAGACTAAAAGCTAGCTTTTTTTTTTTTTTTAATACAGCAGTAGAGCAGATGCTTTGGGTTGTGCGCTCCTGAACGATGCTCTTTGACACAGCAGAAACACTGCTGTGTTTTATTCCAGCATCCATCTGCATGACTATGGACACAGGTATCTTGGCACATCATAACTTTTCACTATCTTGAAGAAATCTAGCATGGGGTCATCCTCTGTGGGGCCTGTTGTGCAGGAAAAAAAAGAGAAAGAGGGAATTTACAGAAGAGCTAAAACATCTTTCTGAATTCTAGCACTACATGATCATCCTGGTGCGAGAGGCAATAGTTTTCAGAGCAGTACAAATTGTTCTTAACTAGAAAGACAAATTTTATTTAGCCTGAAAGTATAGCTCAATGAACGGATGAGCAAACCCTTGAGCAAGATTTCAAAACAAATTTCAGGTTTTATGAAGAATGCTTTCCTAGTATTCACCAGCTAGTGCTTTCCTTCATTGATTACTGCTCTAAATATTAGGAAGCTGGCAGGCAGATTGATTAGACTGAATAGAAACAAAACAGCACCCTGCTGCACCTCGTCTTCACTGAGACATATTCTTCCTTTATCCCTGTCACTCCCTCTTTGCTGAATTTGGATTTTAAATCTTTTTAGGAGCGCATGACAGTCAAATTTGGAGTATTTGAGTAGCATGGAAAGCAAGTTTAATTTCATTTGTCGGAAGACTATGCCTTGCTCTCATCTCTTCTATGAACGCAGCTGAAGAGAGACAGGTCCTGCTGCTTTTTCACTGAAAATACAAGCAAGCAATGAAAGTAGAGCTCTTCACTCAAAAGGGTGTTATTGTACCTCCATTCCAATCTGCGATAAGTAATTCTTTTGCTCCTGCTATATCACAGCCAACTGCCTCACCGCTGCCGGCATATTCTTGTTTTTCAAACAGCATGCAAAGGACTGCTATTACCACTTCACCACCGGAGAAGCGAGTCACTTCACCAGGCTAAGTGATCTCTGGAAAGCTAGAGAAGTCACCTACAGCTGGATCCAGCCCTCCCCACCATATGCTTTTTGCTGCGTCTCCCGCAGAGCTACCGCTAGATCAGAGTCAGGAGCATTGCCCTGAGCTGTTTGGCTGTCAGGAAGCTCGTGGCATCACCTACGAGGTGCACTGGTCTCCGCCGGCCTGAGAAAGGCCATCTGTCAGCCCCCACGCTTGTATTTCCAGCACTAGAGCAAAACGCAGAGCAGCGACAGTCATTTTTAAGTGTTTCTCCGAGGCAATGTTCACAAGCTACCTTCAGACACTTAAATCATCGTGTTATTTACTCCAGCCCTAAGAGCGGCTTGTTTATAAACCTCACCACTAAATAACTGCTGCTAACACAGGTGTTTCTAAAGAATCATTCCCAGGCTACAACAAAGCTCAGAGCATCCTAATCATTACTGTTGCCACTGATACTGCTGTTAATGGCCAGAAGTCCCTGGCATGGCCCAGGCCTCAGCAAAGCACCCACTGAGCCCATGCAGCACACCGCAAGAAGAGGGTCTCTACCCCAAAGACATTGCAAGGAACCGTAAGACAACAGATGGGGACGAACAGGGAGGTGGAAAGCAATGACCAGCCAGCAGTGGTCTACGGGACAGGTTGCAGGCTCTTCAGATGGCTCTCTTGCACATTAAAAGTCATCTCATTGTCAATCAAATCGGCTCCTCGTTGTGCATCCATCTGTAATGGAGCACCCAAAGTATTCCCCATTACCTTCTCTGCACCGTGCTTAGGAAGATCTGTTTGCCTTGTTATAGGATGAAATACTCCGGCACAGGAATATCTGGGAGCCAGCACGGAGGCTTTGTTCTGCCCAGCGTGAAGGAGCCTCGCAGAATGTATTGAAAAGGACAATGAAACCGTCGGATGATGAAAGACAGTGCTGCCGCGTATCCAGGATGCCGCGGGCTATTTTTAATCATTATTGCTACTACAGTAATGATACACTGGGGTACCTGACTGGCTGAAACATTGCTTTTGGCCCACGGGGAAAACAGTGCAGGAACTTTCATTCTGAT